GAATAAGGTTAGCAGGGCCCGTTGTAAAGAATCATTCTCTTATTTTGCACTTGTGCATTTATATTCATGTCATATTTTTCTACCAACGGATGTTTCATTCACTGCCAATTTTACCATAATTTTTTTTAATTGAGTCATGTGTTTAAATCAGATTTAAAATTGGGTCACTGTTACCATTCATTTTATGGGAGTCATCAACATTTTTTATCGTATAACTCTAAATTTTTGCTGTAGATTATCTAAATTCGGTTATAAACATTGTATTTTAGTTAAGACCTTCATTCTATCGTGTTTTCATGATAAATTTGTTTGCATTATAAAACCATCATATGGCATGGCAAGCCCTGGATATAATGGAATGACAAACGCCTATTTCAGTTCAGTCTGGTATCTGTTTGAATTCATTTGTGACTTTTTGTACTTAGACTGTATTGTATAAGATATATTTTCCAGCTGATTTTGTGCTAATAAAAATGAAATATAATATTCTCAATATTTAGTCATTTGAACCATTCACTAGATGTTATTTGAATCAAACATTTTCAAACCTACTCGGTTTTCGAAGAGACCTAACGGCTCCGAGAACATTTAGAAAAAAAGACATATCTGTATATACATCTAATAAATGTTCACACCGCACCTATTGCTAATAATACACCGGAGAGTAATTTCTCACTATTAGTCACGTCAATTAGCTTTCCAAAAGTTGATAGATCTACCAAAAACCCTTCAAAACGATGAATATAGATATAACAGAAGATGTGCTATTAAGTAACAATAAAACATCAATAAATAATTTTCAATTTTATTAAATCATTTTCATGATCATAAAATGAAAATAGATGAAAAATATATGATTAAAATCACTTCGAAAAAAAAAACTTTTAAGAAAAGTTTGAAATTGCCTTTTTTTCGTTTTCAATGAACAAATGATATTGTAAAGAAGAAGAAAAAAACAATTCCATAGAAAAAAGATGCTTTCTTAGCAGGTTACATGTTAATTACCAAGTCAATTCGAAACGATGTGAAAATTGAATCAACAAATACGTTAAAAACCGTTTAAATGATGTTAAAAGCAATGCCGAATTAAAAAAAAACCAACAAATTTCAATTAGAAAAAAGTCCATGTTGATCTCAATGTTGTAATAGTTTGCTTGTAGCAAACGGTGCTTCCATGGTGTATCGAATGAAGTGATGAGCTTTTGTCTGTTCCGAAAGCAACACAAATAGAATATGAACTGCTTGCAACAATGTTTTCTCCCTTGCATAATTGTCGATGATTTCATTTTACATGAACTGCTGAGAAACAAGAAATCCATGCAATCTCATTAAGAATTTAATTACTTTTAAGTCTACTATGCGAATGTAGCTGCATTATATCTAGTTTGAAAGAATTGTGTTTTTTTTTTATTAAACCCATTGAGATGTACGCAATAAAATCCATCGATTCCCTTTAATACAATGGAATGGGTATGATTTCCATAATGTGAGAAGCTTAAACAAATAGATCAGCTTTTGCACATTTTCGCAAGGTCGAAAAGCTATTTTAGTACATTATGTATCAGGAATATTGGATACATTGTTGTTGAGCTGACGTCATATAGAAAAGTGCACGCAAAAAATTTAACGACATACAAATCTACTTCATTATTTTAATATTCTGTAATAATAATTATTGTTTATTTGTGTTATAATATCTTATTTTTCAATTATGTGTTTTTCAATTTTGACTGTTTCAACTCGGTCGGCAATGTTCTTATGCGTTGAAGTCTTAATGTGTTTAAATTATGTTGTCTTGTAGTGTTTCTTTAAATGAATTCCATTAGCGCTCAACAAACGTCAACATTTATAGTATTGATACAAAATAAATCAAACGAAGAGAAAAAAAAACATTACTATCGAAGATTTATTTGTTGCTGGATTTGAAGTCTTTTTTTTGTTTTTCCTTCAATCGCTTGCAAATGAATGACAAAGCAAATGTGCGCATAGTATCGCACTGAATTTGACTTCTGACTTTGATCACATAAATGAAATACGTGATTCGTTAAATCAGTGTCCATTCATAGCCATCGTCGAGACGTTTGCGCATAAAATCGACAAATAAGGAGCTTATGTGTATTGTTTTGAAGCGGCTTATATAAACCGTTTCGTTTTGACTAAGCATTAGGCCAACAATTTATTGCAAGTAAACAGTTTATCGACAACCGGAAATCCGTCGTTCAATTAATAATATAAAATCAAAAACGAATTTATTCGTATTTAGAAATGAAAATGATTTCTGATTCAAGCATTTGATGGCGATGAGGTCAATCAACGAACAGATGACAAACACATACAAAGCGATTCAATAAGTGTCGTTTTTGAAGCGATTACGTTAACTTTCCATTTTTTTCTTCTTCTTCTTATTCACTCGCTTCAAGCCATTCATATTACTACCTATACCACGAAAAAAGATGTCTATTAAAGATTACGAAAAAAAATGAATTCTTCAATGTATCAGTTTCGTCGAAAAACACCGAAATGTTTCGACGGCATAATTAAAACAATTAATCACAATCCGTGCATGTGTTTGTGGTCTACTAGAATAGAGTGTTGCACACATTGGTGTGTTGGCAATACCAATGCGACTAGATGTTAATTCAAGAATGAAAGGAAGCAAATCCAAAGCGTTAGAACAAAATATACATATGACATCATCATCATCATCGTTATAATCGACTCGACACGGACTTTATAAACCATATAAAATAGCGCATAATACACGATTCGTTCGTATGTATTTTTCTTTTTGTTTATACACGCTCATATTTGTGAGTATACATCGATTTTGTTACTGTTTAGGTGTACACTTCATATCGATTACTTTCGGCAATAGCAATTTGCCTGTAAGTAAATGTGGCTTACATTGTCGCTTCATTTTAATAAAATGCTTGCCCCAAAACTGTGTTTCTATTTTGATCACGAATTTCGTGAGATAGGGACAATATTGTGTAAAGTGTCATCATCGTCAAGTGATGATGATGCAATCGACTACGATCGCAATCTTGTTTGTCGCCTTTCGCTTATGTCCATGTCCATGTGCATAGTTTTTTTTTTATAATAAAATCAAATCAAAATATTTATTTTAAAACTATGAGCTCACACAAAAACCAAAATGTCCACAATTTTTTTTAACATAGTAGCACAAAGGTTGCACCACACAGGAAAAATCTCTTTTCATTTTGTTATTAATTATCGCATTAAAAACACCAAAAATATTCACTCTGCTGCTATGTGTGATTTTTTTTTTGCGATGAACACACATTTTCTATGTCATCTATTTTCAGACGTATTTGAATTATGCCAAGCCCAACAAAAAATTTGGTACGCAGTACACTCTGAACTATAATAGTCACTTCGTACATACGCCTTACTGTCTGAATAACAAAAACCAACAATTCGTCACTCTATAATTAGATTCGAAATAGGCTTTTCTAATGTCGAACTCGTTTCAAATAAATTACTCATCAATTTTTTCATCAAAAAAAAAAAATTGCAAACCTTTTCGATCAGAATAATCTAGAGAATAATGGATCGATTCATTGTTCGACAACTCATTTTGGTCGTTAGATATTTTGTTGGACAAGATATTTTACGATAATTTTTTGGAACATTAGTGACGATGAGCGGTACATATTAATTAAATATTGTTTTGTTTAACATTCAAAACAAGAATTTTTGTTTAAAATATTCATAGTTCGATTTTGGATGAATGAACCAATGAATGGATTAATTCACGTGTATTTTATTTATATGAAACATTTGCCAATACAACAAATATATGATATCACAATGTAACTGTGATTTTCATGAGCGATTCACTTTATTCCGGCTTGAATCAATGGCGTAAAATGATACGCAAGTTAATTGGCAACCATTATCGTTTTTGTTTTGTTTTCTTCAATATCGGGGGGAGTGTGGTATTGTTTGCGCTAACGCATATTTGTGTGTACATCGAGCAAATACATTAACAAAAGAATGAATTCAGGAGATTCTTGCACGGCTTGCTAACATATAAAAGTCAGAATTACTTCCAAGTAATCACGTAAATGTCGTACAGAAGGATAAATATTCGAAACACAAAACGCAGCCGCACGCGTGCTCGCGTTTTATTTATTTTTCTTTCCCTCGATCCGTTGAACTTTATTGAATACAAAATATTCCAAAAAGAATAAAATAAAAATCCAATATTTAACGCACAATCTTTGAAATGTATGATTTTAGTTTGTTGTTGACACCGTTTGAAAAGAGTCATAAATATTTAAATGGTTCCGTTTGAAAATCGAAGAAGAAAAATTAATATCGAGCATTTGTAACGATTATTGTGCTACTGAAACTTTTTCCAATTGTAACTTCGAATAGAAAGGGGACGGATGACACGCACAAGTGGTGATGTAATCAACATATATGTGTGTTTGTTATCCGTTTCTTTCGTTTGCTTACCACAACACAGCATATTTATATTTAAAAAAAAAATTTGTTGTTCATATCCCGATATTTGTTTCTTCCAATTGATTCACACAATACCAGCACATCAATGTAGAGAAACAGGGCATTCTATAAATAAATGCGTAGATTGTAAATAACGGCAATATACTATATAGCCACATTGGTGGGCTCTTTATAGTTTTTATGGATGAAAATTACATTTGACGCGACATCAAACCACCCCAAGTATAAAGAAAAAAAAAATACAAGGATACGTCTTAACTAGGTCAACTAATAGTGTAGAGTATATGTATTGAACGCACTGTGGCATACAGGAATATTTATGAAGCAGCCACAGGAGTGGTAAATTATTTGATAGGTTTAACGAACTATGAGTTGAAAATAATTCCAATGCAATCTAAAAATTCAATCGACTCGTTGTAGATTGGTTGATGTAGAAAATGAAACTTAATATATCCATTTGAGCGATTTAAATAATCGATTTTAAATTTACTTATTTTTTGTCATTTCAGGCCGTCAAACATGCTAAATTAAGTTGACGTGGTGTAATCAACAAGAATCAAGAATAGACTACAAATTCGAACTAGTTAAAAGGTTTCGTAATTGATTTGACAAAATGGGAACCAAAGATCAATCGGAACAATTATTCAAACGAAATTTAGTGCCACTTGTGGCAGTCATATTTTTATTTTACGGTGGTTTAAGTTGTTTGTATTCAACATTTGTGCCGCATTTATTGGTATTGGGATTGGAGGCTAGAGAAATAAGTCAAATTCTCACCGTCGTTGCTTTGGTATCGATTGTTGGACCATTGATTTTCAGTCCATTAATCGATCGAATTGCCGACCGTCGTAAAGCATCATTTGGCCGATATCTTCAATGTATTTTAGCTCTGCTATTGATTCTGGGTTCGATTGCTTATGGTTTATTGTTGACGGTGCCGTCTGTGCTTCGGGAAGCGTCACGTCAACCACAGGTATCCTTTGGTTGTGATAAAAATGGTGCAATTATATTCCAAGAACGTTGTTTTGAGGAAAAGACTTGCTATCATTGGGAAAAAGAGAAAATTGGTTCCCTTGCACTTACGAATTGCACATACACATGTCAAAGTCCAACACAATTTCAAAATCTATATAATCCATGGTTAAAAGGAGCACCGGCAGCCATCATTAATGATGTACCGACGTCAAAAGAAAAACAAGACGATGATGACTATAATGATTCAAAAGGGTAAGTTAAACAAATAAATCATATTGAAATCTGATAATGTGTAATATATCCAAGATGTTTTGACTCATTTGACCATTTTTTTATTTGTACCTAGGGACAGTGAATTGGCAGACGGCAATTTGGAACTAGTCCGTCATCGACGAGATACAAAAAAAGTGTATGTTGCACCGCCACATATATGTACGAAACGAATTGAAAATGGGCACGATATTATTGAAAAATGTCATGTCTATATAAATGATTTGTCACAACCGCTTGAACAAACGCTTGAAGTAAATACCGTTCTGCGTGGTGCCACAAATCAAGAAAATGAAACTCATTCAGCCGAATGGTGCAATTACCCATTGGGTTTGTATAAATTGATGATTTTCCTTTATTAATCCATTGAATATTTCTAAATAAAATTATATTTGATTTCCATTATTAAATGGTAGATGGTTTTAGCTGCGACATACCAGCGCCACAGATTGAGTATATGAAAAACTTTACCAATAATCCAGATTGTAAGCCAATGATTGAATGCGAATTATTGGATCCATATAGTGATAATTCAGTTTTGTCACAGAGTCAATGCTACAAAGTAAATAAGATGAATGCAATTATAATTGAATAAATCAAAATTACATAATAAATTTATCATATTTTTTCGTTCAGATCGTAGGAGACGTTAATGTGACATATTGGTCGTATTTGGTAATTCGATCGTTAGCCGATATTTTTCCAGTGTCAATTATTGTTCTATTGAATACTGCAATTATAATTGCAACTCGTGAAACATCAACTGGACGGTCGGAGATGGGTCGACAGCTTGCTTGGGGCGCACTTGCCTGGTGCATTTTCCCCTTAATATTCGGAATTGTTGGCATCCACGGTGACATCTTTGTGCCAGTTATTGTGTGCATTGTTCTATGGATATTGGCGGCTTTAATTTTGTTGTTTAATAAGAGTATCCCATTATCACCACCCGAATGGTGAGTTACAGTTTCAATTGATGTGAAATTTCAAATCGATAATAAAAATAATTTCTAGGTGGTGGCAAATTTATACCGGTGGCATGATGGCCATACCTTTATCTGCGATTCGTAAATATACGCCCGAGATAATTGCATTGTCTGTTGTTGCTGTTGTATTGGGAGCCTTTTGGAGTGTTATTGATACCTTCCAACCTGAATATTTACTGGAATTGAACGAAAATGATGCACCGCTTTTAATTAAGCTCGTTTTAACGGGTTAGTTTATTGGCACTTTGCTTATTGCCAATATTGTCTACGGCCATATAATAATACACATTTATGTTTTCTTTTGTATTTGTTTAGTGGCTGCTATTCCGGCCGTTATTTGTTTGTGGTTTGCCGAAAATATTGTTGACTACTGTGGCCATGCCAACGTTTTGATTGCATCATTTGCACTTCACATCCTTCGTTGTACGATTTTGACAATAATGAATTCGCCATGGTACGCATTGTTTACGCATTCATTTGAATCAATAACACTCGTCCTTGTGTTTGTAACGTTGGTATTGTACATGAGACATTTGGTACCGCGTCGTCTCACGGCAACCGGTCAAGCTGTTCCAGTTATCGCAACCCTTTGCATTGGTAACGCAATTGGAAAATTAGTGGCACCAATTTATGCACCTGGCTTAAGGTATGTAATAAAAATTAATTAATCCAATAATAAATTAAAAAAAAACAGAAAATATTAATAAAAAAATCAATTGCATTTCTTTCAGGGCATATCTTTTCCGTGATTTGGCCGTTGTTGCTGCGATAGTTGGTAGCTTGTATTTCATTTTATATCATTGCTACTTGGGAAAACGATGTGCTGCCGCTCAGCAACCACCACCATCGCCAGCTGAATTGCAAACGCACAATGGATCACAACAAAATGGTGGATCATCGCCATCAAATAATTATACACCACTTCGAATATACCATAATAGTCGCGGAAAGAAGGGCCAGTTCCGTTATTAAGAATTAAAAAAGAAAAGAAAACGAACAACTTGTCAACCAATGTGTATGCATATATATTTTTTGCACTGCCTGATATAAGAGAGACTCATTTTAACGTACAACACATATATTATTTTGAACCATAGGTTAATTCACTGGCAAGAGACTAGCATAGAATTCAAGAATCATTGATTGATTCATATTTACGATATTTCTGAAACCATCACCGTTAAGTGTCAACAGTCAGCACGGAGATTATGTAGTTTTTTTGATGATTTATATGCGGACATAACACAGCGATTTATATTATGTATCTACAAATATCACACACACACACACACACACACACACACACATACAAATACTTACATACAAAACCTATCCATCCGAACGGTGATCACATGTAGCTAAAAGCACACAACTTGAGAGCATAATTTTGAAAAGTCATGGATTATTGCTCAGGAGAACAGATTCAAAATCAATAATTCACTATGTTGATATTAATTAAATGACATATATATGTCCATTGTCCAAAATGACGATTTAATAAAAAAAAAACGAACTTGATGATACAAATATAACCAATGCCTTCAATGACCTCAGTTTCATTCAACGAAAATGGTCTTTAATTGTGCCTGTGAATAACATGAAATCTTTTGAATGCTCTATGAATCGTCACTGCTTATGAAAATTTAAAAAAAATGCATTTTAACTATAAGATAGTGAATAAAATGTCAATTTTGTAAATCAAATATAGAATTTAAATATGTAATGTATGCAATTAAATGTAAGCATTAAAAAAGAATAAATAAATGTCTGTTACTTGAATGTTTTCAAATATATTTTATAAACTCACATAATAACACTGAACACAAAAGTAAAAAAAAACAACAACCAAAATACAAATCTTTTTGTGACAACATTCTTGTAAGCACAGCGATATTAAACGCATTTTAAATTCTAGAAAAAATCACAGACAATATATTGTACTAACTGGTCTACTGAGCTGACAGTACGTTAGCCAGCCAAATGGTCTAAAACAATAGAAGTTATTGTTATAATGATCAATTATTTTTATTAAAACAATAGAAGTGATTCATCATTATAACAATAACTTTTATTGTTTTAGCCCGTTTAGCTGGTTGACCAGTTAGTTCAATATATTGTCTGAAAAATCATTTTACATGCTGTAGAAATATCTACAATAATTTTTTTATGCAAATGCATATCTTAAATAAACTTATAGGGGAAAGCAATGACATCACTATTCACACTACATATAATTAAACATCATCAACAATCACGCTGGAATTATAGTTTATAGCGATTGGTATCACCAAAAGGTTAAAAATGTGTTAACGTTGTCTCTTTTGATTCTAAAATATATATATATTTTTTTCATTCGAATCTCATATAAATGAAAATAAAAAAATAAAAATAAAAAATACAGCAATTTATTACATAAAAAAGGAAGAAAAAATAATAAACTGCTTTAATTGAATTTATATTATTATATAATCTATTACCATCTATTTATTTTGTTAAACGATCTGCAATAAAAAAAGAAACACTAAATGTTGAAGAAAATGTAATTTTGTGACATTAAATTCTGACGGTATTGAGATGACAAGTGAAATGTACTATTTCGTGTAAGATTTTATCAAAAACGAACATTTTCTATTGTCTTTGATTAAATCGCGGCTCAATGTGCACAATTTTAGAAAATAAACATTTACATTTACACAAAATAACATGAGTTTTACTTTTATTTAAAAAAACAGATTTATTTTGTTATTATAAAATCGAAATACCTTTGTGAGAACTACTTTCGTTACCATCGAAGTTGATCAAATATGATATATTAGTTAACCTATTCATATGCATTGTATTAGAAACATTTTTTTTTATTAAAATTTTGAACTTTGATTTATTAAAGTAACAAAAAACTTAAATAAATGGTTAAGAGTTAACAACAAGATATTATGTATGTGACATTATTTTTTGTCGAAATTCGATTTTTTTCTCATCGTATATAAACCACGATTTACTAAATAGCACGATGTATAAAGAGTTTTCAATTTTCAATTAAAAAGCTGATTTTTTTTTTTACAAAATGGAAAAATTACAAATTTAGCATCTAAAACGAAAAAATATATATGTATAAAAAAGAGTGCAGTGAGTGAAACATATTTCTTTTAAACAAAAATTCTCATTTTTTTTATGATAAAGTATAAGTTTAAAAAATTTGATCACAAATTGTTCATGAATCATTAATGTTCATATCGAAATTTTTCTCCAGTTCGTCTAATGCATCATCTGATCCAGATGCTGTTAAGTCGCTTAGTTCGTCTAAGCTTTTTTGTGTTTTTCGTACATTCCAATGTAAGCATTCGCCCAACGAATCAAACCAATCGGATATTTGATCTTGAGCACAAATGGATGGTACGGGATATATAGACGTTGTTACACGTAAACTATCGCCATGCAATAATTCTTGTCGATTACGACCATCGAATGAAACCCAAGAAGTGTTGCGACTATCGAGCGAAACCGATATTTTTAATTCAACGCCAGCCGGAACAACAATTGGCCGAAAACTTAACGAATGTGGACATATTGGTGTCACCATAATGGCCGGCACTGAAGGATGGATCATACTTGCACCGGCAGCAACTGCATAGGCCTACACATGTATCAAATGAAATGATGACAATTACTATGAACGGATATTTCATGAATATTGAGTGTATGTGTGAGTGTATTTACCGTGCTTCCGGTTGGTGTTGAGACAATCAAACCATCGCCTTGAACGGATGTAATGTGCTTGCCATCGAGAAATAAATCGATATTACAAAGATATGGTGATGGACCACGATCGATGACTACTTCATTGAGCACCTAAACAAATCATTTCGTTATGTAAAAAACAGAAAAAATCATTTTACACATGATTATTTTACCAGAATATTTGTGGCCGGTTTGTTGACCGCTGTACCATTCGATGAATCATTTGTAATTGCTCTATGGGCCAGCCAATTTTTTTCGCAGGTACTTTCGTTTCGTTCTTCATTTTTTCGCACGATAATACAACGCAAACGGCTTCGCAATGTTAATGCGGCATGTCCTTCAAGTACATTTGTAACTTGCTCCTGGAAATTGTCAAATTGAAATGGTGTCAAAAAACCCAACGAACCCAAATGGAATGCCATCACGGGCGGAACAGATTGTTGAAACAATAACGATGCATATAATAATGTACCATCGCCGCCCAAACACACTATAAAATCGATGCGATCAGTTAAATCATCACGGCCATCTCTAATTGGAGGGATATAAAGAGATTAAAAAAAAGAAAGAACCGTATATAGAAAGAATTAGCAAAATTAATTGATCATTTGAACTTGATGAAATGGCATTTGAATTATTTATTACATACTTGAACGTCACTAATTTGTCTTTGATTTTTTGAAATTTCTTGTCTTTTAACAGCATTTCATCATCTAATATTGCAGCTTCAACCCAAACAACCATATGTTTTTCCTGTGTGCGAAGTGGAAATATTGTCAAAACTATTTTTTTTTTTAAGTGTCATCAAATATAATTACGAGATTGGAAATATTTATACCTGAATGAGCCACTCCACAAGTTGAATAAATGGCGGCAACACCAATTGATCACGAACTTTTTTAATGACAAGTACAGCCAACGGTGGCTTATACCAAGTCAGCCTCTGACTGGCTGGGTCTTGAATTTGCCTAATCGATAATTGCAATGATTTTATGAATTTAAATAAATCTTCAATCAAATCATGGTTTATCATGAAATATGTTACTCACATGACCATTGCCGAGTTTTTCATAATTCGTCCGCATGGTCCGAATTGTTGAAATGGTGATGGAGCATTTAGACTTCTTGTTCGCCTACAAATTAAAAGGAAATAGATAAAAGCGAATATTAAAAACACACAGTCATATTGTATATTTCAATATTAAATATGTTTCACAAATGTGAATTATGGATGATCATGAAGACTCAGACACACACACACACACACACACACACACGCACCGAATGATACAGCGAAGTGGTTTCAATTGTTCGCTATCACGTTATCAATAGCAAATGGCTTAATTCAAAATGATATTTTGGAATTTTTCACCTCAAATCACCTATGTCATTGTCTTTAATTACACTTATTTTTGAACGACAAAGCCGAAATTGAATGGTTTTATAATCTTATCATTTTATCACCTTAGTATTCGCTGCGATGGATCGACTTTTTTGGCGGTGGGTACATCGCCGTTTGGTATTTCATAATCGAAAAAATTCGTGCTCAAGGTTCTAACCCGATCCATTTCTCTGGCTACTTTATTTACTTTGTGTTGAAAATTCCTTCACTTCGCATTTAAATTATTGTTATTATTGTTTTCCTTTGTTTCTCATTCAATTCTAGAGTGGAAAACGACTAATTTCTGATCTTGTCGCAAATGATATGAACAGAATCGAACCAATGAATGTTACGATCACTTTTTGAAACACACCGAACGAAATGAACTTAAGTGAGGGTAAATGTTTCAAAAGGAATTGCTTTTTGGCTCTTTGCGACTTGCTCACTTATTAAATAAGTCTGATATTAAACGATAGGAAAGATGATTTGAATATTCGAAGTGTTCGAATTGTTTTTGCTGGTCGCATTCTTTTTTTTTACGCACGATCATCAAATCCACACAAACATATGAATGTTCACCACGAGACGGCATTCAACATTTAATACTTCAATTTAAAAGCAGGTTTTTTGGCTTGTTTTTGGGGGCTTTAGAAAAAAAGAGGTAAAAAAGGCACAAAAACAACAACAACACCAACAACTAAATGGCAAAATGATGAATTTATTATCATTGAAATATATGATTTGGATATCTCATCATGGTGTACAACTACAAGCGTAATCATAAGCACACTCACACACATATATACACGGCAAATATCACAAACACATAATCACTAAAGCAAATAACGTGTTTTCGTTGTTGCGATTGGACATATTATTCAGTATCAATGGGCCACTCAAAATACCGAATCGAAATTGAAATTTATGCAAATGAACTTCGTGCACCGTGAAATCAAAAGTCAATTTTAATAAAATAGAAGAGGTAAATTCCAAGGTGCGATCGAGCAATACCCAAATCAAATCAAACAGTTAAATTACACGAAGAATAATTAATATGCGCATGGAAAAGGCACATTTAAATTCTATCTGCACATATCCTTAGACAATCAACATCGCTATAAGAAATCGTTTTGCGGTTTTTTCCATCGATCATTTTGCTTGAACTAAATATACATGCATGAATATACATATATGTGAATAGCGTTCGACGAATAATTTTTTGCCTTTTTTTTCTTCGTTCAAAACTCGAAAAATATAGTGAATGTTTTGTTGATGTAGCATTTCTTTCTTTCTTTCACACTATGTCTGTCTCCGTTTAGTTTCGTTGATGTAACCTTGGATATTATTTAAATATAAAAATCATAAAACAATCATTTTTTTTTCATGATATATTTGATAACGACGAAGAGACAATCACCCGTTTTAATTAACAAAACCTAATTATGTATTTTCCGTCACTAATGTGAACACAACAACTAATGGCTTTAAGATGATTTACCCAATCACATTTAGCCTTTCAATAATAATTCATTCGAAGGCAAAACCGTTCTAAAAATGACAAAGTACCAACCCGATGGACGTGCACAAATGTAGATACTAAACATCTTTATTTCTGGATAATACAGCGGCAGCTGTGTCCAGTGTTCTGATGTCGTGCTATGTCTGGTCTCGACTTTTAATTTTGAACGTACACTTATCTGTTGTTGTTGTTTTCATAACGATTATCATTATTGCCATTGTGAAATCAACAACATGATTTCGTACCAAATTCATAGTTGCCTCTCTTTTACTCACCTATCGGTGGATAAGTGTGTGTACCTGACTATTTTTACTGTTCAAAAAAATATGTTTATTCATTTACGTGTGTTGTGATAATATTTTTACTCGCACAAACATCGTGAAACAGAGTATCGCATTCAATTTTACTCGCAAGACGTTTAATTTACGTTTAAAAAAAAAAACAAATTTATGTTATATTTTACGCCAACATTTGTTTATACTAGTACAATTTCTTTTGTTTTCAATGAGGAAGCCCAAGGGGAGACCCAAGTGTGTAAAAAGTGTGAATAAGTTGAAATAACTGTCAGACAGTTAAATTCATTTTGTGAAACGAACCATGACATTTATTTTAATTTTTTAAACTTTAACTCAAAATAGTACTTTAATCTCCCCCTGAAAAAACCACATAAGATTTTGGTCGTATTACAATTATATTCAACCCGTTTTACGTATCATCTAGTCTATTAAGTTGTCAATCCAAAACTAGTCTCCACCATCAGAAATAATAATAATAATGATCGTTTCATTTGTTTATGTCACGGATGCAACATTTACATTTTTGTTCTTGCTACTTTTGTATCTCGTGTTATATGCACCACACTGTTTGTTTTGCTTTCTTGATAACACGAGATTTTTTTTAAAATGATAACATGATTTATAAATTTGGATTAAATGTAGATAATTTTGTGTGATATTTAAATATCCAGGAATTGTTTATTATGAATGTGCAATTTATGGTTCTATAAATTGTTTTATTTAATATTGTTCGTGATAGAATCACAAAAAAAATCGAGCTTGGTTTCATGTTTTTCGTGATTAAAGATATTTTGATGACTTTCATTTTTTTTCTGTTCACTTGGTCTTCAACTGGCTCCAAAAACAAGACATGAAATCGATTCATAACATTTAATGATGTCATTAACGTTTCGCTATGGCGTATGAAAAAACGCGAACTATAGACATTTACAACAAATCGAACCGAGCAAATGTGTGTTTAACCCCTTTACGACTAACGTTACCATTTGCAGATTTGCATTTTCCCACATTTTATTGAATTTAAACCCCACCAGCACATACGTTTTAAATACCCAACGAATGTCTTTATGAGATCACTTTGAAAGATTCAAAGGTAAAACATTTCAAAGTTGATTGATTTTCAAATTTGTATTTTACTTGTAAAGAAAACCCTCACGATACCAGAATTTCAAGGGACCGAAAAAACCTTTCCATTATTAAGCGATTTTATTTTTAAGTTTTTGCCTTTCAAAAAGCTGATAATAGTACATCACCAAAAGATTTAATAATGGTCAGAATCAATGATGAAAATGAATATGTGCTGAATCGGGTTAAATTCCGTTTCAAAAGAATTTGCAGCACGTTGCAATCAGATTCTGTTTTTATGTCTTTCGTATAAATAAACTAAAATAAAATGGAACCTGCTTGAAAATGATTTATGTTGATTTTCAACGAATATAATTTTACTGATGATTAATTTCCGAACAACGTTTAAATTCCTCATAGAAGTTTTAAGAAACGTTTAATATAAATATGCATGAAACGAGTAAAAAAACCTCAACACTAGAGCAAAACGATTAAAAAATACAAATAAAAAAAATGTGCGAGTCCAAAGTGTTAGTTGTGAAAATTCTAGTAGCGAATGAAAATAATTCCAATTATATCTTCACCTGAAGTACGAAGATAAACGTCCCGAAGGGCCTAGAAAATGATTGCAACCAAACTAACGAACAAAACTTAACTAAGCCGTATTTCAAATTAAAACCGTACTTTATTTCTTATCCTCCACCTTTCCTTTTCGATGTCATGTCAATTTACTCCAGTTTTGTAAATCGAATTGATTAATGGCTTTTAGTTAATATATTCGTAAGTATATTTACGCGTGCGCACATCGATTTGGTGGTCTATATATATATTCGTACTACAATCGTACGATAAAATTATTTGTGGAAAATTCGATGTAAATTGTTCTAGAAAAAATGTTGACAAAGAGTGAGTGAGACAAGAATTAAAAAAAGAGTCTAATTAACCTCATTCTAACCCCAATGTCATTACATTATTCGATGTGAAATAAACATTCCTTCGTCTTTCGTGCAATATTCAAAAACACAACACACAGTTCCGGCTTTTGTCATTCACAGCCGATCACTTAACATTTGAAATGAAAATAGAAAATATGAGTTGCCCATTTAAATGCATGCGTCTTGTGTAACAGTGAATTTTGAACGACGCGTCACATTATGGAAAAATTAACAAATATTAATGTGTGTGAGTGTTTCATATATGTCACTTACGGCCATGTTCCCGATCTCTTTCGGTGAGGAACATCAAGTTCCTCTTCGATTGGTGGATCGGATTTTGTGTTATTGCTATACGGAAAATGACATTCGCCTGTTGCTTGTTTGCCAGTCATCTTATGCGAATGTTGATCAATTGCATCACCCGATAAGCATTTCACATGTACTGTACCGTGTTCGTTTGCCATTTTCACAGAAATCGTATCGTTTGATGTTAATGAAACTGATGACGATGACACGTGTGTACCGAACAATGATTCTCTATTTTCTATATTCGTTCGATTGTTTTTCGTATGCAAATTGTTGTTATTTTGATTTGAATTGTTATGAGACTTTATTTCATCAATGCGAACACTTAAATCGTTTCTTGAATGGCTCAAATTTCTTGTGCAACTATTTCGATTCGACGACAATCTATTACTTATACACGCACTATTTTTTTGTCGATTTGTATCAGATTTCTGGCTACTTTTATTAATGGTACTTATTGTATTTTTTTCACTTATGAAAGTTTTTCCACCGTTCACTGAATTGTTATTGTGTATTTTGTGATCGACGCTAAATTTACGATTGGCACCGGTTTTAATGGAATTTTTTTGATTATCACGATTGCATGACTGATTTGATGCGGGTGGAATGTAATATTTTTGCCGTCTATTGAACCAAGATAATTTATATTGAATTCTTTCGTTGAGCCGAGATCGATGCAATGTTGCCAAATCAATATCCGAAAAGTATGACATTTTTTAACTGGAATTTTATGTATTCAATGGTAATTGTGGTTCATTGATTCATTGGTTTTTGTTTCAAATAATAAATTCTCTTGGCAGCGGCGGTGGTGGCAAAACGATTTTGTAAAAACTTTCATCCACAAAATGACATAAATTTTTATAGAGTTTTTTTTTACAAACAAAAATATATTAATTTTTTAAAAACTTGGTTTTAGTGTTGTGTGGGACTTGGCTTGACTTTGGGTACACACCAACAATCACATGATATGTCACTAAATCGTTTTTGATTATTTCAAATAAATTCGATGACTGAACTTGGAATGCATTTTAAATGATCGAACACATTTCCGATCCTTACATAAAGTGATTCATTTATATTATACATGTACGTTTTGATCGAAACTCAATTGCGGTTTGAATCGTTTGTTTAGCGTCGAAATGATGTAAAATAAATCTAATATCACTCTATTCCAAATGCGTACTGTTGAGAATCAAATGTGAAATAAAACTAAGACCGATTAACAAACGCAATGCTTAAATGCCTGAAAGTGTTGTGCACATGGAATTGAGCGAGAGAAACACTTATATGAATGAATGATTTAATGAATAACTGTGTGACAGCAACAAAAGTAAATATTGCAAACAGTATAAATACATTGAACGGGGCGGCGAACAGCATTAACTGCAGTATCAGTGTGACTAAACAACAAAATAACAGCGATACCAAATACCAGCTAAATTTAATGAATATTGAACAACAAACGAATGAAGAAAAAAAAAAACGGTGGAAAAAAGTCCAAGCATAAGCGAAATGAATACGCGAACAAATCATTAATACACAATAAACGACTCACTATTCCTATACATACAGGCTTAATTTCAGAAACTCAAGTGGCCAACACAAAGACATCACGTGAACATATACTATAATGATTTGTGACATTTGCCACATAAATTGTACGGAGTTTCTTTTTCTTTTTCACATGTTGCTGAAAAGAAAGAAAAAAAAAATTGTTTATGTGCTCTCAAATTGTGAGCAATAACGCGCTGGCCAGTTGTTCAAAAGAAGAAAAAAACAAATTTTTATTTTATGCATAGTCCAAATATTTTCAGTATGCGCTTTGTTTGCGCACTGTCTTTATCCATCTTTCTCCTTCTTTTCGGCTTCCTCGTTGTTCGAATGTGTCACATTTTGTTTTTGTTTATATTTAAAATTTGGGCTGGTTCGTTTGCGTTCATGTAACCAAATTTGAAAAAATATAAATCAATCAATCGAAATGAACAACAACAAACAAAAAAAAATGCTCCAACGAATATGTATTTAGATGAAACGCGTGCTGCAAACAGTTACGAGCTAGAAGACTATCTTTGTTTGCGTAGCTAATCACTTGATTTTTACTCGCATTGACTAAAAGTCAAACGTAAAATACAAATACTCATGTGATTACTATCATTACAGATTTTTCAAATACATTTGTTTTTCTTCAAATGTAACATTCAAATTAAATTGGATGGCAAAACCAATGTGATTTCTTATATTTCGACAAATGTTACGCTCAACACAATTTCTTCGTATCAAATTCGTTTATTCCATTTTCAGTGTGTGTTGTTCAAAAAAAATATATATATTGATAAACAAAGTCCAAAATGAAGCACATTCAATGCATTCGAAAGCAGTAAATCTAATCCGATTTTTGAGTTTGATGAAATTCGATCTTTTGACTGTTGGACTGACACCACTGGAAACATGCAATACCATTCATTACATTTGTTTAGAATCAGAAATCAATTGTCATGCTGATTTTCCTTGACAGTAAATATGTGCATCTGTTGCTTTTAGTCAATATTTTCGGTTGCATTTTATTTTCATTTTCTTAATAAATTTTTGCTTACTTATAACTGACTGTCTGATTATGACTTACTTAAGTTGATTTATTTCTATTTGCTTATAGTGTGATAATCTATTTAATTTGAATGTTTTTTTTTAAATTAAACATGTTGTTGGTATTGTAGTAATCAAATGATTTTGGTAAATTTAGTCATTAATTGTACCTAATCAGAAATGTTTTATTGCACCAGTACAACTTATGACATTTCAGTATGTTTTTGCAACACTTTTCACAAATACATAATCCAAATTTTCTATCAGTCAATGACTTCATTTTTACTAACGAGCTGTTCAACCGGTTTGAATGCATTTTTTTGTTATAAATTCTATTTTCATTTCAAATTGAAATTGTCTAGGGGGTAGACACATATAATATTACTTGAGATATTCACCGAAATTGAAGGTATTCTTGGTATTCTTGGTATTCTTTGTATTCTCAGTTTTAGACGAAATGTCAATGCATTCAGCAACGTCTCACAATGTGCATATATGAATATTATCTTCCAAATATTAAAAAAACTTTTTCAACGCTATTAAGTGTATTATTTCAATTGGTTCAATAAATGCAAAAACAATTTTGATAAAAATAACAGAAAGAAAACAGAAAAAATTAAAATAAATTTCGAAATGGTGAATGTTAAAACGAAATGGAAAAAACTTGAAATCTTTATTGCCGATATCAGTTTGATATTTGGTAATCACGGTATTCACATTTTCGGTACAAGTAATCTTTAAATAAGTAAGTAATTGTCGTATTTGAAAATTGATAGGTATTATGACAATTCATTGGTATTCATTCATTCTCTATTGTGTCTACCCCCTAGGAAATTGTATTTGTTATTCGTCGGTTAAAGTTATGTCCCATTTTTATTCTCACACAACCAAAACCTTTGTCGAATCAGAAAGCAAAACTGTCGAATCAGACGCCTTATTTTATCAGTTCTAATGTGAATTATCAGTGAATAGGTCGAAATGTTTTAAAAGTCCAAAACTCAAGCAAATTGTCAATTCATTCAAACAAATTTTCTTACGTCATTCCGGCGGCTATCGATGTTAATTGAAATGGAACCGCAAACATTGTTAGTTGTGGTGTCCAAATAAATTATATATTTTGTTGAAATAATTTCAACATTTTAATTATATTACGTATAATTACAAATAATTTTTCCATTTGAAGGTTTATCGTTAACAGCTGTTGCTTTTTTTGCATTACACAATTCATATCATGAAACTGGATTTCTCTCGATCGATCAAGTAGAGTGTGGTATTGAATTACATTAGTGGAATAATTAAATGGACATCTGCAGATGTGTGAAATCGCGATCAATATGAATTTATGATTATTGAGAGCGTCGACATTGAATATAGTAGAATTCGATCATATGGAATAGTGTGTGTGTGTGTGTCTGTTTCTCTCGCCCTTTTCAAACAATCATAATTCATTTTCGAGATTTCACACTCACATACAACGAGAGAGAGAAAGAGGGAGAGAGAGAGAGAGAGAGAGAGAGAGAGAGAGAGAGAGAGAGAAAGGTGTGCTCAGTGTGTGATTTCGAAAACAAACGCAAATGTTAACGCTTTTTTTTGCCAAATGTGTAATGTAATCAATTGTATAATCGGAGTTCATGCTATCAATGAATGATTTAGACGTAACTTGCCATGTCACTTTCCAATCGACGCAAGCGATTTAGAGCGAACAGACGTGCTGACCGCGTACGCAAATCATTTCGGTGTATCGAGAATAAATTTATTTTTCTTATCATGTTAATATGACGAAAAGCAAAGTCCCGAAAGTGAGTTTTATCGCACATAATTAATAAATTGTACACACAAATAAAGCCAATGCTTACCATTCTCGAAATGCTTCTTTGTTATCAGAGTCGCTGCCGGCTGGTGGTTGTGGCCCCAAGTCATAGCATCCATTTGGAATGTGATGATTTGTGCTATTTGCTGATGACATGATGATATTTCTCTTTCTTTTTGAAATCGAATCAAATAATGGTGGGTGATGACACTTGACGGCGATGCAATTTTGTTTCTTAAAATCGTTAAAGTGTAATTCACGCAGGTGCCAGATATATAAATTGTAATAGGTAGCAGCTAAACCGTCGATATTCAATAGTAAGTTAATATTTCTTGATACCGAATTTAATTGCAAAGCAAAATAGCCATTCCAAACAAGAAGGTTCGTAGTAAACAAAACGGCATTGCAAACAATAAATATTTAAATGAACTAATTTTAAAAATGCATTTCAAGTACTTTTCTATGGCTTTGCCAATGAATGGGGTTTTTTTTTTTCATCCAACACCGTTTCCCGATTGTTTGTTTTGATTACAATGAATCATTCACACACACAAACACACAAAAAAAAAACAATTAAAAGGCGAGCGAACGAGCGGAAAAAAAATCGAACAAAATTGTAAGAACAACATAGATATATATGATTATATATATAATATTTATCGAACACACTTCAATAGACTTTTCAATAGATAATGACACAACACAAATAAAGAGAAAAATAATAAGATAACAACTGGCAATGGGTGACACTGGTTTGCACAAACACTCGATTTTTGTTGAGAATCACTGTCAAATCACCTGTACATTATGTTATCAAATGGTTCATTTTTTCTCCCTCTATATCTCTATCCCTCTGTCTTTCTTTTTTCAACTTTCCTCTAATGAATATTGAATTTGATTATTGATTTCTAAAAACTCATTTGTTTCCGCGATCACTTTCATTCAGCAAGTGTCCACTTTTACGGATTGTATACGATGTTTATAGTGTTTAAATTTAGTCACACGTAGATACAATTTTTTATCCATTACGAATAAATGTGCAAAGCGATTGAAAATATGATAAAAAATGTTGTTCAATCATACTTTCCCATCGTATCGTCCGACGATGATGTGAAATGACAAAAAAAAACTCGTTTGTCTTTTGATGCCAGAATATTTGTTTGTTCACACAGAAGAATGATAAATCACTTATGGCATTTATTTGGTTCAAGTTTACTGACCGTGGATTCTCTCTTTTTTGCTCTCTATTTTGCTATCTTCTTTGCATTCTTTTGCATGCGATTAAACTGTCAAAATTCTCATATTCAACTGTATGCGCGTATATGTGTAATTACACATGAATTCATTCGTATAGTGACAATTTTGACGTTTCTGACATTTGTGACATTCGTCTATTCAGCTTAAAAAATCATCGTTTAAACGGCAAACAAAACTCAACGCAATTACACGATTTTTGCATTACACATATTCAATTCGGCAGGTGAGTTAAATTGCTTCAACGTTAACATTACACAAAACAATCGGTACATGTTTTACAGAGTCATTGTCATTAACATTGTTATTGAAAGTCGTTTTCAATCACAACAAAGTATATGCGTCAAGCTTTGGTTCAGTTTATATTGAATCTCAATAGATGGCTCTGTACCATCGAAATATAGAATTGTGTTCAAATTTACAAACTGGAGCAATTCTGCTTGATATTTTATGCTATGTCAACCGTTGAAAACATTGCAAGAACGAAACGCGGTAAATATACAATGATTGATTGTTTTGGAAATGATTTTTTGCAGTTTTTACAAGTAATTTTTCGATTATTTAAAATACATTATTTATACATTTTATCTGTTTAGTCTGAAAAGCATGATTTTTTTTTATTCATAAAAAACGATGGCCGCAATTTCAAATGTAAATAAATAAAAATAAATAAATTTGACATGATTGTTATCTCCGGTTGTTTCTTCGCTATTTTATGGGCGCAATAATATTTAGTAATCGATTAGTCATATACATTTGAAATTCAAGGTGATACGAGATGTACAAAAAATGTATCTTGCAAATAATGGACCAATGTTCTGAAGGTAATTTGGTGATGGGAGAAGGTAATTGAGCTGTACATGTAAGAAGAAAAAAAGCCTTGACATTGTATACTTTTTCCTCATTGTTGAATCATTGAATAAGCAACAAAATCCAAAATAAGGTTGAAAGACAAGAACCTTGTGTGAGCACCTCACAGAGTTATTGCTTTTTTGTTTCAATTTTGATCATCGTGCCAAAAACAATCGAATAAATAACTTAATTCACCTTACTTTTCTTTGTCTAATTATTGTTTTTGCGCTACCTTGATTGCATATTTTAGAAAGGTTAACTGGTCTATATTTTCAATGAAAATCATTTTTTTTTTCTCTATTTTTTTCCGATCATTATTTGTTACGTTATATAGTATATAGAAATATAGATCAAAATTCTAGGCTATGTCTACGCAAAACATACTTGTAGTGCGCTTGTTTTTAACATGACATCATATAGATTGACAAATGAAATGATTTCGAACATTTCTTTCACACGCAATGAAATTAACAAACAAATTGGCATCTATTCTATATGCACATTCCAATTATTGTTAAATTTCATTTTGAGGTAAATAAAAAAAAAAATTGTGTCAAATCAAACAGAAAAGAAATGACATAATATGTGCTAAAAGAATCTAACATAATACTCGTAATTCAAAATAATCAGTTGTACGTTAACGTTTTAATGATGTTATAAAATGCATGAATTTACTTATTATAAATGAGGTGTGAAAATGTATGGATTTACTTACCGAAACACCTTTTTCATTTGCATGGGTGCTTTGCGCAATGGACTTGGTGAACCTCCGGGACTCTCATTTTCGGATTCCTGAACTAAAATCCGTGCCATTGCAAGATCTTCCTCTTTCATTTTGTTATCTCTTCACAGTTCAATCGAAAAATCTGAATTTCTTTTTATCTTATTAACGACGACGACACGCACGATTTTTTTTTTTTTTTTTTTTTTGAAAAGACACACAAGGGAATAAGCACACTTTTGATTTTTAATTAAATGAAATTGTAATTCTTAAGCGGTGTTTAATCGAATTTGAAAACAAAATAATTTCATTCAATTTTTGTAAATGGAAAGAATCGTTGGAGAAGTTAATTGTTAATTTCATTTTTTTTTAAGTCGTGCGTGAAAAAAAAACTGTTACGTTGTCAAAAACAATGCACTTAATACACGCAATGTGACAAAATGCGATCAAATTTGAACAAAAAAAATATATAAACACGAAATGAAAATAAAAGTATACGAATCACAAAATGCGAGCAAAACGCATCCAATAAGTGTGTGTATCCGTCAAACTACTCAAAAAAATTACTTCGTCTAATGAAATGAATATATCAATATTAAAGCATGCGCATAAAAATAAATACTAAAATCGGTTTGTCGAAGTTAAATACATCTCTCGGGTAAGCGGCGCAAACAAATACATCCATAATAGTTGCGCGGTTAACCATCTACAATAATCGTTTCGTATCCATATGTGCTCTCTCTCATTCAATATATTCCTTAAGTCTAACGTATCGTTGTGAATAATTGTTGTTGTTTGGAGCCTGTACGAGTATCGCAAGACGCGAGTATTTTATCTCTCTGTATTTTATACAAATCAATTTTACACTGTCGTGCACTAGTTTTTTCTCTCTTTCGCCCTCTCCCACTCCCTCTCCCTGTCTCTCTCTCACGGTTTTGTCTCAATATTCCAACTGATCGACAAATGAAGTGAAATGAAAGGTAATACATGTCTCGTTACAGTGCCCGTTGTTGAAGCATATTCGAACTTTTTGACACAAGAAAACAATTCGATATTCGTACATGTATTCGATGAGTTAGTGAATGGGCCTTTGAAAGAGACATTTGTGTATGTATCTGATTGATCAAGGCCCCGACAACACAAGATGTGTCCAACGAAACTGAAGTGAAATGTTTATGGTTTACGCAATTCATGCCGTGCGTTGTTGGGAGGGACGAAGAAAAAAAACACACACACTTTTCTAACTATTTAACGCAACCAGAATTCAGATTGAATAAAGTAAGAATAGCATCATGAAATCACAAACAAATGTTACTCGTGTGCACATTTACGTAAATATCTTCATCCGGGTATTGGGACAATTAATTTTGTTGACTTCGGTCAGGATTTATTTATTATGCATTAATTAAATACAGATTAAAATCATCGAGTACTTTATGCACACGTTTTCAATCCATTGATTGCAAATGTGACACGATCATTTTCGTGATACAAATATATCAGATATAATCGGTATGAAAACATGTTGTTATTCCTAGACCAGGAACTAGGGGATTGACACCAATTTCTAGTGTACTCAGTTTCTTCTAGTTTTTCTAGTATACAAACAAAAATGCAAATATTCTGCTAGTGTTTCTAATATTGAGCGAAACGAATTACATTGTCTTCATCCATACAGAACACATTAAAATCCAGCTTTCTTATTGAACACGTTTCGTTTAAAAAAAAAAGTTCGTTAATCCCTTCAATCGACTTGAACATATTTTCTTCACAAATATTTTTCTAGTACCTTCTACTAGAAGGCTTCTAGTTTGATCGAATTTTATATAGTAAAAATTCGTGTCTAAACCCCTAGTATGTCTCTCTCGCTCTCTTTCTCCCTTTTTCTTTTTTTAACGTGAAATGAACGTGAACTAAACATATAATAAAAGTCGATAAAAATAAATTAAAATAAAAAAATATGTAAAAAAAACAAATTAAAAATTCAAGTGCATTGACAATTATAATTGCTTAATTACGATTAAGCTGTTGTTATTTTCTATTGTTATACATAACAATTCAAAATTCAAATCAGCACAAATCATTTTCAATCCTCACAAATCTCAAATATTGAATAAATTCAATCCATTCCGATAATTTTCAAACGTTTTCGCACTCAAATCATTCACATTTTTCGCATCTATGTAAATCCATTCCAATCTTGGATAATTTTTTAAATATTTCTGGAGAGATCTTAAATCTTGTCTATAGATAAAAAATATTTAAAAAAGTCATCAAAATGAATAGTAGCATGATAGAGAACTCCGCTTCACATATATTGCTCCTGGAAACCGTCTATATATAAAAAGGGAAAAAACGAACCCTCTTAGAATAGCTGCTTAAGCTTTCAACGATATATTTGACCATATTACAGTTTGAATTATAACAAATAGGAATAGATTTGAAAATGTGATAAATTTATCATATGGCGAAGGTGTTATGAAATAAAATATGATATTTGATCACTGATCAAAGCCAACAAAAACAACAACCAATACAATATAACATACAATCCAAAAATAATTAAATATATTACAAAAAATGTGATGAAAATAAATGTATTGTAATAATTGTAAAGACAGTCATTTGTCAATACAAACGAAATGATACAAGCGAAACATTCCGAAAATGGTTTGCCCTAATACAATTAGTAGTTAGAAGAAGCTAATCAATAGAAAGTACGAATCAAAATCAATGTGATGCCTAATTTGAGTTGACACATTTTTTGTTGTTTCCATTGAACAGAATAATGCGGCCGTGATAGTTTTTATAGGATTATATATGCGGTAAAAGTTTACCTATGATTTAGAATATATACTCTTTTTTTTTACCATTTAGAATTATTGGACAAATGTGCGAGTCAACATATTTTGCAATTGTGCTTACTCGTGAAAAATGCATTTGTCGTACTTAGGACACGGTAAGTTTCTTCACCTTGCCTACTGAATAGCATATAAAATAATCTATCCTTTTCGAAATGTAGCTAGTTGCGTGTATCGCACACATTCTCAAACGTATGTGAATGTATTTGCCGTTCAAGACCCATGTATATTATTATATTGTTTGCATGTGCATAAATTGCGTCACTAAATTTAGTGTTTCACAATATAAAAGCGATGACTTTTTTTTGTCCATACATGGTTCAATATTTGTGACTGTATTGTAAGCATTCATTGAATTTTGTTGTTGTTGTTGCTACAAATGTATCGACAGATAACACTGTTTCTATCTCTGTCTGGTTCACAAAAACTCCGTCCAATTCTAATATACTTCCATCAGCTCACAAACACAACTGTCATTTTACTGGTCTAAGCCAGCCAGTCACAAGGAAACAAACGTACATGTATGTCAAGCTTTCAAGCATGATACTGTCAATTTGACAAAAAAAAAAGAAGTAACGCGCACTAATACACCCCGAATGTTGCACACAAATACAAATACAATGCTCCGTACAATAACCGTTCGGAGGGTTGCTGATGAATTTTATCCAGTTCTGTGTGTCCAGGAAACCTTTCTCCGCCAATTTTCTGTATGTGCGTGTGCTTCCATTTTGCCTCTCATTTTGTGCATTCTCTTTCTCCATGGTGTAGCATTTTGTGTCATAGAATATGTGTATATTGGATGGATTTTCCATGCTGGTTAGCATTTTCAAAAGCAGTATACTGAAGTTAGAGAATGAGAGAAACACAGAGCAGCACTCACGGCAAGCACTCAATGACGGTGTGTGCATTTTTCATTTTCAACAACGGCGCGATTTTTTCGGGTCGTTCGCTTCAATTGGTAACAATCGATTTACCATAGTAAAAGTGCTGTTTTGTCTCCATTTAAATGCTTTTGTTGTCAATTTAAAAACATTTTCATTTTTTTTTTCTTTTTCGTTCATTTTTCTTATTCTTCTTCGTCTTCTTCATATGTTCTTTGCATTGATTTGTTTTGCAAATAATTTGCCCAAATCAACGCAATGTATTCACATTGTGTGCTAATATTAAATCAATTACAAAAAACAAATAAGTGTTGGATAGAGTGTTGGTTATATCGAAAACCGCGTAAGGTGTGCATTAAACAAGTAGATGCAGTCAAATCAAACCTTTGATATTTACTTTTGTAAACAATAATCTTGGAAAAAGCTCACAACGTTGGAATGGCGCAGTATGAGTGTTTAATAAGTTTTGAAAGTCATTTGAGTTAAAAAAAAAAAACAGGGAATAAAAAAAAATGCCAACCGCTAGAAAAATGTTTTCAGTTTTATATGCTGGAGAAAAATTGTTGAAAATAAATCACATTTTATATGAAAATTAAAATCCGCGTAATTTCCCTCGAACATTGAACAGAGATACTGTATTGGCTGTTTAAATATAATCTGACAGTGATCTGCGCGTGCTGTAAAACTTTGATAAATATTTGGTGAACATAAATTAAACATGATAATGAATGGTCAAGTATATTATGACTGTGCAAAATGATAAAATATCAAAGGTGAATGTTCCCAAAGTGAGTGTATGCGTTGTAAAATTAGCCATTCGCATAGCACTGTTTCCAAGTAAAGGGATTACTACTGCTTTACATTTTATATTTTATTTGTAGTTTTTATATTTAAATTCCCAAAAACGTGAACCAAAGTGTTCATCAAATTTAAAATGTCTAAATAAAAAAAAGTTATCCAGAAAAAAAGAAATGAAATTTCAATTAGCATATCATAGCTAGATAAAAAGAAAACTAAAAGATTTTGCTGCAGAAAATACAAAGTATACCATTATTAGCCAAAGTGAACGGGACTAGGAAAATGTGTCGAAAACCATACGTAAATGTTTATTTGTTGTGAGTAAGAGAGTGCTTAACGAGCAAAAGCCAAACACTTGAATGACCTTACAGTTGAAACCATTTGAGGAAGAATAAACAGTATAATGATCCAACAATAGAATGGAAATATCAAAATAAAACGATAAGAAAGGACACTCACACAAAATATTTTTGAACAAAATGCCATTCGGTCGTCGTTCACCTTTGGAGGCATTTAATGCATTGGCGCTACCGGGTAGCGTATTAGCCTATAAATATAATCAATTCCGGCAGCGTCGTCGAGAAGCCCAAAGTCGTCGTGTCACTGAACGTGAACTATCAGCATTGCATCATAAAATCGTAAGTTATCTTGTAATTAAAGTACAACGAAAAAAACAAAAACAATTCTATTTAGTCTGATGAAAACCATACCATTTAATGTGTATAACAATGGGACTTTTTTTTTGGTAATCGTTAATTAGATTTAACTTCAGGTGGTCAAAGCTATGTGCACCTTATGCGTGCAAAGCCATTCTTTTTCGTCGCGTAATCTTTTAAGCACGCAACTTTTCAATTTTGTGCACTTGAATCGGGAATTGTTAGAGAAAATTGTTCATGTTGCCGCGTAGAATAAAATTGGTCACCTTGGATATCGGATAATACATTTCTCTCCCCCATTTTATGCACTCGGAATTTATGTATTGTTTGGAAAATAATCGCTTCAATTGTTTCAATTAATACGAAATTTCGCTTTAAGAGAGAAATAGAGTGATTTATTTCAAATATCTACTACGTGGAAAAACCTTCAACGTCGATTTATTCGAGCTTGCTGCACAGATAATTTCGGATCCTTTACATTTTCGATTTATTCCATGCAAACATTGTTAAATTGTACTGATAACACTATGCATGCATGCCATATCGTTTAACTTTGTTTTCATTTTCTTTCCTTCGTTATTACTTGATTATTTTCCACCGTTCCACAGGCCATTCCAATCAGTATATTGAAACAATTCGAACGACGTAGCAGCCAAACTTTAATGGTAAATGGAAGACTTTTTTTTCTCTGTCTCTCTGTCTTTCTCTCCGTGTGCATAGCAAAAATTTAGGTGTGCCCAATTTTAGCATAAATTCCCAAAGTCACGAAAATTATAATGAAAAATATATAATGTTTTGTCCTAAAAATCGTATGGTTTTTAGTTAAACACATATGACGAATACGAGCTGATGTGAATCGAAAATAAAACAAAGGCGGTTTTAATATATATTATATATTTATGTAGATTTATTATACTTAATCAGTAATGTACTATCGCGTTAATTTCATTTGATCAAAATATAAGAAAACAACAACAAAAAACGAAAACAAATCTATAGAAAAAAGCTAATGTTTTTTTTTAGCCTCGGGCTTAAAAGAAAATTATCATTCAAAATAGCACTCAATCAATGATAATACCGATTCAACGTCGATTTTCAAGAGTCTTTATGTCCATTTATTGTTGATCAAAAATTAATAGCATTACTGGGATTGTTCTCAACTGTCTGGAATTGTTTGTATCAGAATGCCAATATATTTTCATATAACATACACACATATACTTTGTTTTGTTTGTTTTCTCCGTTGTCACTTTTTTTTCTTCGATTCTTTTCCATTGTATTGAATATTGGTTTTTGTTTGGTTTTCTTCTACTTCAAATTCGTAGAATTTTTCTTTCTTTCTTGTGAACCTGGATAACACGGCGATAAATCCATTACGAATCAACTAATTGCTTCATGAAAAATAAATGGCAGAATCATAGAAATGTTAATAATTAGACACACTATATTTTATGGAAGTGCTTTCAATCATTTCGTCACTGTGAGAAAATTAATCATTTCACTATAATAAATCCGTTGAAATGATTACGGTGTAGAAAGTATATGACTGACGATTGTTCCAACTTGGAATAAAGTAATAATTTAGCATAACTTTGGGCTCGACCGTTAATTTGATTTTGCTTTGTGATGTGACATCAACAACAACCAGAAAAACCCGTCCCGAAAACAAGTGCGAAATTTTCAAGTCGAACACTATATCCACTCTTAAAGGCCCAATTGAAATTGTCATGTCATCCATGTAATTGGCATAACAATTTGATTGATGATGTTATAAGTTATTCAATCTTTCATCGCTGCTTCAATTTTTACCAAATGGTGGTTCACTATTCGTTGACAAATAGAATTTACCTCGTAACCTACAAACAAAATAAATCGATCAAAATATTACAATTAACCCTATCGCTTTGAAATACATCTAAATTTCAATTGCATTTTGCAGATAATTAGAAGTAATTTTACAAAAAAAGAAAAAATACCTAGCAAGGAACAATGTCTTGCTATCGACCATCTCTGAGTATGATGTTCGCTTCGAGATAATTTCAATAAATACATTCGCCAAAAACCAAATTACCTTGTATCTGCATTGAAGCCCATGTAAGCTGAAATTTTTTTATCACAGTTTATTTCGGTTTGATTGTTTATTGGCAACAACGATTTTGGTTCAGTAGCTGGTTCGCAGTAGGTTGCCAAAAAAGCATTTGCCCGGCTGAGTGATTCAATAAAGTACTCCCAAGCTCTCTGATGACTGCAGCCAACTGGCATACATTATGGAAAATGTTTCACAAAAAAAAAGAGAGCAATACGAATCAAAATGGCCCGAAACCAGCAATGGCACCAACATGAAAATAACGGTAGATCGCATAAATATCGTTTTGTTCAATTCGTCTAACGGCGTATAATGCGTAATACGTTTGTTTGAATGAACAAATTTAACAACGCAAAAAAGAAGGTTACGTTACAATTTAATTTAAACAAGGGAAAAAAAGTGAATAAATTACTATTTCGAAGATTTTACATTCACTATTTTGCCAAGTATTTCATTCTTGGCAATGATGCATTGCGAAAAAAAAAATGTGCAAAGTAATAGAATGTTTCTAACATACCCACAATGGTATACCATCGATTTTTTGATATCTCTTGTGCTAAGCAACCGGGCTGAAGCACACCTCGATTCGGAAAGAAATCTGCATGGCCTGAAAAAAATTGTGAATTTTTTTCTAGCTGCATTTTTAGTTACACATGGTTATATGGTTGTCAACAAATACCAAGTGGCCAGGGGTATCCAAGAATTCCACCTGAAGATAAAGAACGGTTTTTTTTTTAGTTTGACAAACAAAACGGTTGACGATTGAATCATAAATACCATCTGTGTGAATGACATCAACAAAATCAGCAGAATCCACGCCCAATCTCGTCGATTTATTAATGAACATATGAAGTGGAAATGCAGGATCCAGACCTAACCCCGGTTGTCATTTTTTTTAATAAAATAAATTATAAAACACATTCTTTGAATATATTTGTTCGAAAAAAAAAACGGTAAAATGAAATGTACCTGTTATCCTTGACAAACTAAGATTCCATTCCTTTAGCATTTTTCCAGCAAATCCGGCCACTTCAGCTCCCAAACTATACGTTCGAAAAGTGTTGATATTGCATACAAGAAATGTTTTATTAAAGAAAAACGAAAACGAATCACTCATACCTAAATCCAATCACATGGATTCGTTGCATGTTCACTCCATTTTCATTGAGAAATTTAATAAAACGAGCCAAATACCTTCCAACACGCGGCACATTTTGTACAGAATTCCAATACCTTGCAAAATTTAACATCGATTCAAATAAACAATAAGGTATATCTGTGGCCGTACCAAAAACAAAAAAAAACTGGTGAATCATTACCATGGTAAAGCGGTGATTGGGCTCCAGTCCACTAACAAAACGTTGTAGTCATTTACTTTTAAGAATGCTATCAAAACACGAAAACACGTTGGCAATCAATTTTGATTAGAAAAAAAGTTACTATTTGTGTTTGACATTCAAAGAATTTGTCTTTTTTTTTGCAATTTAGCACAATCAAAAAATAAAATGAATTCCATCAATTAATTGCATATAAGTTTGTTTAAAACAAGATTTTTGCATACCGTCCCGCATTTCTTGACTACTTTGTCCAGCTCCGCCGGGTACACTTTCCGAAAAACCGTGCAAATAAATAATTAGTACATTTGATTTATTAAAGTTCGATGTTTCAAAACGCTTTTTGTCGGATAAATAAAGTACATCGGCGTTGATTGGATTCGATCTGAAATGTTGAATAAAAATGAAATGAAGAAGAAGACACATCACATCAATTTGTAATTGCACGAAAATTATCCATCAATTTGTGAAAGCATATATATGGTACAAATGAATCAATTGAACTTGACACTTTCGCTGTGAAATGAATCAATGAAATAATATATGTTATGCGAATGCTGTTGATATAATTACCTTGTGTATAAAAAAAATTTAATATCCCTTGGCTCCCGAATCGGGCAGCAATTCTGGCAATTACCCCGTGGTGCTGGTGAGTATATAACTGGTGAACCGCCTATTAATCAATACCGAAAATCAAATAAAATCATCAAATCAAAAATCGGTTTGTTTTCAATACTACCGAAGGGAATAATAATAGTTCGAATTGTGTTTACAAAGGCCATGAATGGCACAGTGTGAATTGAATGAAGCGTATAACTCAGATTCAATGATTTCTTTTACTTCGTATATTTAATATGTAGATGTGTGTAGATATAATCTATGTCCATTTCGATTCCGTCTATCATTGTCGTTTGCAAATTGAAAGATATGACAGAAAATTGCTGTGTGTCTTGAAAATTGAAAACCCAGTTGATTTGATAACACTTAACACACTTGTTGGCCTGCTCATTGTCATTAGAATTGTCTGTCGAAGTCATTGTTTGAATAGTATCCTGTGCATATAGAATGGTAATAAAAAGTGTGCATGAATCATAGTAATTTTCGATGAGTTGAATACAATTTGTCATTTCACCGATAATATATAGCTCTTTCATCTTGACTGTTACTAACCAATGGTATATGATAAAAAATTAATGCAATCATTTGCGTGTGTGAGTGTGTGAATTCGTATAGTGGATTATTATTATAGGATTATAGCTCGTTGATGATTCGAGAAAACATGATTTTCTCTGTTCGAATACAGACGTTGATTTTCGAATGAATAATAAATGATTATTACATTAATTCATCATTTTCAAAATTTTGCCATTACGACCATCGTCATGATGCGACTCTTTTTTTTTCTCACACTTATTTTAGTTACCATATAATAATAATGATTAATCAGCAAATGAGCGTTAACATCTCTTTGAATCTTTTGAAATGAATTGCCAACAACAAATGTAACGAATGGTGTGATATCTCTGATGAAAATGACAGTTGACAAGTTGTTGGTTTCACATCGCTTTTTTATACACACATATATATATCCTTTTATTGTTCTTTTGCTTATATCTGTGTTTGCACATCGAAGTGTGTTGAATGAAATATAATATACCATATATGCTGCATACATAAATAGATATATACTCACCGAAATATAGCGTGAATAGTGAACAAAGCGCTAATCCCGGTCCCGATAATGTCATTGTATTGCGATATGTTCTGAATTCTGCATAAACTAGTTCCGCATCCGCAAGCAATTTTATTGCAATCGTTTCTCGTTCAAAATTGTCTGATTTTTTTTTCTGTATGATTTCTAGTTTGCGGTTTTATTGTTTATCGTTTCGATGCTTGCTTGTGTGACACAATAATATATGTTCAATAATTGTATCATTTCACGTATATCAAAATAACGATTTATATATATGTGAACGTTTTGCGTGTCTTTTTTTCTCGTTTGTTACAATTTTTTTTTATCGATCTGTGGTCAAATGAGAAAATGGATTTAAAATTGAAAATCTATTCTGAAATTAATTGGGCACATTACTTATTTTCAACAGCTCATAATGCAATGTAATCGAAGAAAACATTACACCTGTCAAAAGTTCTAAATGAATTTTTAATGCATTATTAAAAAACGTATTTAAATATTCATTGAAGATTGATATGATTAAACAAGTAGAATATGTGTTCATAGAAGTGGAAACAATGCCGAACCAATTACGATTTTTGAAATACTTTCACTATCTATTCCTGGTAATCAAGCGGAAAAAGCCGACATACGGAACAACTGACATACTAGAAAATAAAGTTTTGAAGCCGTTTTCTTTTTCTTTTCCTTTACAGAAAAAAATTCACTCTGATTTCAATGCACAATTTTTTTTCTTCAGGGTAGATACAATTAAGTTGAAAAATATGGAATAAAATGTATTCTAATTGGAAAAAAAACTTTTCTTTTTACATGATTCAAATTCGATCGACAACTTTGCAACGATGTTAAACTATTGAGTTACTTAAGTCACTTGTTTGTTGTTCAAAAGTTATTTATTTCAAATAGAATATCACAGCCAACGAAATACTCTTTTGCACATATTTTACGTGCAGTAGGAAGAGAAAAAAAAAAAAAAAAAGAAGAAATATATCGATATCGGTGTCTTGTTACATTCCCAGTGAAAATATTGATCAACAAATTTATTTTATGGTCGCAGAGCGAGTCTAAACGATTCGTGTTGCTCGCATTTGTCTCGAACAGTGCAAAAGTTCTGAACATGTTACTCGATGAACCAAGTGATCGATGTTATTATGTAAATGCAAGAGCGGTGTGCGCGCGTAATTTAGTGGGGCAACTATTATTTTTTTTTTGTTCAACTCTCAGCCAGACGACAACCGTTTCGATTTGAAACAATGTGAAGCGTAATTGTTTTCGATCGACGAATGACCATTGTCTTTTTTATGCGTGTGTTTTAGCACATTTATAAGTCGCGCACTTTTTTGTGGTTATTGCTTTTATCATTGTTTATGTGTGCATCTATTGAAAGCATTAGCGAATGGTGACATTCTTTTTTATAATTGAACATTGGAACATAGTATGACCACTTAACACATATATGTCAATATGATTAAATGCTAGATAGAATGTGGTCTGCTCTGGAAAATTGCACTCAAATTAATTGAAATGCCGAAGATGGGCAAATGAATATTTCACACTCAACACTCAATATCTACTTTTGACCATTGACTTGCCTTTTTACTGATTATGATTACATTCATTTCAAATGCTGGTATGTATTTCAATACTCATGTTGTACTGCACTACTTTAAAAAATTATCGATACAGAAAAAACTGAGCTAACTACGAAATAAAATGGTCTATCGCAAGAGAAAATACAACTATGCCGTGTTTTTTCCATTTTCTCAATTCATTTCGTCAGATACCATTCATAACATCATTCGAATTACGATAACCAAACGAGCAGAAAAATGCCGCAAAAGATTTTGATCACCGATATGTTTTGAAATGTAAAAATATTTACAAATAGTACAGCAGTGCAATGATTTAATATTTATCTCATCTTGAAATTATAACATTATGCAATACGGCAGCACACACCTTCTTACATTTGCAATTTAGTTGATAAGTTATATACTTATGCTATAAATCGCAGAGATAAATATTTATGGTTTGTTAAACACTTATGTCGACAAAATGACTTCCTCGTTGAAGTTCGATCTATCATCATTCTGGCGCTTTGTCAATATGAAGAAGAATTAGTAGTGACTGTGATCAAAAATTGATGCATTTTGGACACAAATCATCAGTTGATAAGAAGGAGCAAGCTAAAATGTTTGCAACATTTTTCAAAATTAGCGTCGCAAATGAAATGACTCAATTCCTAAATACAGCATGAATTCCATTTCGAACAAACTCAATTGTGGATCAATTTAAACTCAACGAATTTTCCGTTTTCGATGAGCTGCTACAAATGAACGCCTAAATAAGCGCAAATCTATGACATATGCAACAAATAGGAAAAACACAATACATTGATGTAAAAGCAAAAACACGATAACTCCAGATTTTATTTTTACAATCACGTCTGTATGTTGTATTTTTGCACTTTAATTTATTTCATTCTTTTTTTGTGCAAAATATTTTTACTTTTTCGCTCACGCCGAGTGTGTAAGGTTAAGTATTTTATCTTGTTTTTGCCATTATTTAAAATCATCTTACGCACTGGCGGTTTGAGCGAATTGAATAAAAAGTTTTTTTTAGTTAGTTACATTTTCAAGTTAGCACAAGTGAGAGATTAAACTGTATTGAAAGTATTTATTTCTGATTTGAAAAAGTATACAATTACCCGTACGAACAACCCAATAAAGCGGTGTTCTCTTATGATAATCTGATTCGACATTAACATTTGCTCTATTTTTAACTGGAGTTTTAATAATTTTTGGGTAAGCTAATATGATCAGTGAGAGACTGAAATTCATTGAAAATATTTATTCCTGATTTGAAAAAGTTTACAATTACCTTCCGAAAAGCAAGATTTTACAGCATAGAGAAGCGGTGTTTCCATCATATAGTCTTCGAATTTCATTCCAATTTCGGCAGCATATTACCAAATTTAATGCTTTTTTTCTGTTGTATTAAATACACTGTATTTACTCCTGATTTGAAAAAGTATACAATTATCTGCTAGGGCAGCGTAGTGAAGCGGTATAACTTTCAAAAAGTCACCTTCGGCATTTGCTTCTTTTTAAGTATTCAGCAGAGTTCTCATCGGGCCATATTTTTGTGATCCGGATCCGCCCGTATTCCGACAATTGCCTACTTGAATCCGATCGACGACCGATTTTTACGGACGGGCATCGGTCGAACTCGGAATTTGGTTAAGAATTAAAAATATAAATATACAAAAAAAATGTCATTCAATTCAAAATTTTAAAATTCTTTGTTTTTATTTAAAAAATTAACTCTTCAATAGCATCCGTATGCAAGCGATTTCTTTTTGTCGTTAAAACATTTCCCCCAATGCTAAATATGCGCTCGGCTGATGACGATGAAGCCATAATAGACGCAATAGATAAGAATTTACGATAGAGCCTTGGGAAGATGTTTTGATGCTCATACCACCAAGCCTATTAATACTATGAATACTATTCCGATTAAACTTCACTCAACAATTTTTCTTTCTAATTTTAAAATCTAGTAACATCGAAAATGACATTTTATGAGATTTTCGCATGATGAAACCCCAGTTTTTTTTCTTGTGAAATGAAGAGTCTTACATTTTTTTCGAATCAGTATTTTGCATATACCCGATTATTATTTTACGTGCAATTTTGGGTTTGTGCCGAAGCATTACCAAAGGTACGATATCTAATTAACTTTGGTTCAAACCCTATTGTACGTATGCTGTTGTTCGATTGCTTGAGAGAATTTCTCCAAGACAATTATCGTGCGAAATATAAATGGAAAAATGCCGAGAATTTCGGCCGAAAACACTCACAAAGCTGGCAAAGCCAATGATCTATGGCTGAGTTTATTAGTAAGACGAACTTTTATTCATTAAAATTTATTCACATTACTTCCGATATCCGACAGAATTCAAAAGGGGAAAAAATATTTTACAGTCAATACTCCAAAAAATTCACTTTTCTATTTAAAAAAAACTAAACGATAAAACAACGATTCAATTGTAATCCTTTGCATTTCTCTATTTGTAGGATAAACTATTGAATAAATTAGAAGAGAGTGAACCGGAGCCACCCACATCATCTGAGGATGAATGTGTCATCTGTATTAATGCACGTGCAACAATGCAAACATCTCCATGTGGACATCGAGTCGTTTGTCGTCGTTGCTTTGTAAAAACAATACAAAGCGCTGTTGCACAGCGTCTATTACCATTAAGATGTGTCATTTGTCGTGCACGAATAAATCGTCTCATATCCGGTTCGGGGACGTGGCGCTTACAGGAATCAGCCAGCAATTACTCGGTTGGAACTTCAAAAAGTTGGGCTGTACGTATTTCAAGCGATTTTTTTTTGTTAAAGTCGTCTTTACATTGATATTTGATAATAATAATTATTATTTGTGATCTAAATAATTGTAGGCGCCATGTACCAGTAAAAATGCTGGAGTTCGAGTAGCACAATCGGCCAGTCTTTATTCAATGAGCTCAGGGTCATCTAATGTATCTGGTAAGATTATAAAATTAATTGTAACATAAAGATGATTAAACGTTCGAAAATCGATTTCCATAGGAATTTCATACGCATCAAATCGATCAAGTAGCTCGGAGGCGTCATGTTCAACAAACAATTCCGGCACATCTGGAACGTCTTCCTTATCATTATCATGTAAAAGTCGACAGGATATTCATAAACATGAGAATTGTGGCGGTTAGATCTTCTATATATATCGTTTATTTTCCTATATGATTGCATATTTCTTTTTCTATTCATTCTAGTTAATTGTCTCGGTGCAATACCACGCAATTCTCAATACAGTCAATTTCAAAAAATCCAACCGAAACCACAGCCGATCCAACATGAACAGCCATCTCATCATGCATCCAGTCCACAAATTAAAAAACAACCTCTGTACATTAACAAACGCAATGCAAATTATACGCCAAAGAGCGCTTCATATAGTGTATTTTCTAATGATATGCAAAATAGGCTGCCACCCATCAAGGAATTCCGAAGTCCGACTAAAGCGTCCATCTCATCACCAGCACGCGTTGCTTCTGCTCCACGACTGAGGTATGAGCGCATTGAACAATTGCAAATCAATAATGGCGGAAATGAAAATATTCATTCAATTTATTAAAATATCAAAAAATCATAGTGTTTTTGGCTGCATAATTCCATTAAAATTGAATGATATCATTATTTAGAGCATTGATGGTTATTGTGTATGATATTATTGATACATTCATTTTATTGTTGGTTTGCATCGTATTTTGATTTAGGTTTGCATCGTATACATCACAAAAATCAAAATCTGTATCATCATCGTCATCACTCGATACCGTTCCTCTATTGGGTGCTACATCGTCCACAAGCTCTCAATCGACCGTTTCAAAATTGGGCATGACAGCAAAAGTGGCACCAATCAAACCAAAGCCAACAAGTACACGAACATTGGCATCGCCAACTGAACAAAAACCAAACATAACGACACCATCAACGTCACGCAATCCATTTTTTATCATTTCTCTGAATAAAAACAAAAATACGGCAAACACCGAGCAATCGACTTCGAAAGAATGCAACAGTAAAATCAATGAAAAAATGGTTAACGAAAACAAAAGAAATGAATATTCGGCAGAAAAAAGGAAAAAAGAGGAAAAACTTCGCTTGAAAGCCGAAAAAGAAGCAAGAAAAGTAATAATAAATATTAAACGCAGTTTTTGTCTCGCATAAATACATTTTTTCTTTGTTGTTGTTTACCCGCTTAATTTGTTCAGCAATTTATTTCCTGGAATTTCAACATTTCGGTTTTGTCATCTCTCTCACACACACACCTTTTTCTGCTCTATTTTCAGGAAGAGAAACGACAAGCAAAAGAGGAAAAAAAACGTAGCAAAAAGGATGTCAAGTACTTTTCTCTGTTATGTGATAATAAAACCGATAGCAAGACAAAAAAGTAATATAAATAAACGTAATTTTTGTTTTTTTTTTTCTATTTGCCTATTAGAATGAAATTTTCATAAAATATTTATTAAACTTGTGAACCTATAGACAACTGTTATATTGTTAAACTTATTTATTGGGAGAAAAAAAATCAATCAGTTAAGAAGTAGTTGCATAAAAAAAAACCAGTAAATAGTATTTTATCAAATAAAAATAAAACATGTTGAATAATCGTTCAATTAAATTCTATTGTTCCTTCAATAGCTACGAAATTTTAATTGCAGAAGCATTTTTAATGTAGGATCTTATTTGAAAACTATGTATCGGTTGGCTTGATATAAATTTGCAAAATTGGTGCTTTTTACGTGCTCAAATGCAAACAACATATATTATTGGCTATTCAAAAAGACGTAACATTCAAATGCAAGCCTCATAACAACTGACTAACATTCCAAGAATTTAACATACCAATAACATTTTGTTCGTTTTTTAACAATAGACAAAAAAATAAACAAGAAATTCAAATGAATTTAAACAAAAAATAGTAAACATTTGCATTATTTACTTTTATTTTAATTAAAAAATTAATTCATTATTTTACAGAAGATTTAAAAGTTTGAAAAATTGGGAACTGAAAAGAAGCGTGGTGTCTCTATATAGACTATAAAAATGATCGAAAGTACACACAAATCCAACCTCGAATTTGACCATGAAAATATGGTTTGGCAGTGGGTAAACTTGGATAGCCGTTTTTCATACATAATACATGACAGTCTTGTGAGCACCTAAACCTTATTCATTCAGTTTTTCTTTGGTAAATCTAATTAAAGCGGCATTCAAATGCTTTTGTAAGTATATTTAAACAGCGGTTGAATACTTTTATCAATTCGGATTCCGAATTATTTACTTAGCTATTCAAGAATTGTCTCGAGAAGCTACGAAATGTGTATCCATGCCAACCCTTGTAACGTATGGTTGCATGGCCATAACAGTGGATTTTACCGTGTCCTTTGCAATCTTACTCAAATCCATCTAACAGCATAGCCTGAATCATTTGCACATGCTAGAAAAAAAGACGAGGTCAAGTTTGGAGGGCAATGTCGACGAACAAGTCTGAAACCGGAGTTTAATTTAATTGTATTAAATGAACATTCGAGTCCGAGTTGAAAGAAGCGTTAAATATGCGCTATTTGCGAAATATTTGTAGAAATATCTATCTATCTATTTACATTGTGTGTTGTCCCAAATGACTGTAATTTGTTGCTTCTTAATTCCTGTCTGACATGCTTTTAAAAACAGTAAAAAATCGAAAATTTTTTCATGTCAACAGATTTTATTTCACGTCTCTTAAAATTATAGTATTTACACGTATGTAATTTCAAATTTGTTCTGTTTCACTTTTCACATATACAAGAATGACTCTTTTCAATAAACTAGAATACAATATATTTGTTTTAATGTATAACATCATTTTGGTTATTCAAGAAAGGTCGTATTAATGTTTGTCTGTAATAAAAGTAAACTAGACGCAATAGATTTTGTGATGTCCAATGTTCACTTCAATCATTACATACAATTCAAATGCAACAATTTTGACTTAAAAATTTAAGAACTAACACTATTAGATATGGTTTCTCTTTTTTTTTAATATACTATATCAAGGGTTTTTTTGTCTTTATCAGCCTGAAAAATTACGCAGCCCATCTCAAATGATAAATAGATTCAATTTGAAATTATTCAAATTTCTCTCTCTCTCTCATAGAGTATTCAATTTAACCAATAATCTCGAATGAAATAATAGTCGTAATATGTTCAATTGTTCATGGATTGTTGAGAATGGGTTTAGCAAACAAGTCACTTTTCGGATCTGGGGCGAATGAGCTCCAGTGCGTTTCATTACATTGCTGTAAATTGGGTAGAACATTGGTACGTTCTACCACACACGTTTCTTTGATCACAAAGAATTTATTGATTAAATCACTTATCCACATGATTCGTTCGTCATCAATTAATTTAGCATTTATTAAAGCTTGTTCTTTCATTACTTCAGCATCTTTAGCAGCCGGCAAAAATTGATTCCAGTATTTTGTTTGACGTTCATTTGAAATCGATTGTGAATGCGGTTGTGTGGCGTCGAACAATTTTGTTGAATTTGCATCGCCATGAATTTTTGGAATAATTAAAAAATTACATTGTGCAATCATTGCATGTGCGTAAACCAATTTGGCCGTCCAAATGCCGGCCAACAATGGTGCTTTTAAATTTGATTTTGCAAACGATATGGTTTGTGATGCGCTCGATGCATCAATGTGTATATCGGATATGTCACTTAAATAACCAGCTGGATTAATCCATAGCACCGTTAAATTATAATTGCGTGCGGTGAAAATGTTCGGTTCCGAATTGATTTCGGCCAAACGAATTAAAAACGTTGGTTCGGCATTTGGTCCCATAATTTTTGCGAAATTTCGTAATATCTGCTCTTTTTGATCATATTCTGTGCTCACTTCAATGCTTTTAATGCGTTTTCCCAACGTTGTCGACCGTGATACACGGCCAAATTGTTGTGGCCGTGTCAATAATTCCAATTGAATAACATCCATATTGTTTGCCACATGAACGATATCATGATGCACCAAGAATCCTTTGTATTGATCACGATCCATATAGGTTGTAACTTCGATTATACTTTTCACCGTATAATTTATATTAATATGATGGCATGCCAAACTGGATGCAACTGTAATTAATGCTTCGTCAATTTTCGGACTTTTGTCGCGCGAATGATAAACACTTTGCCAATAACTGTGTAAATTTGGATAACCGGCTGCATATGGTCCAATCAACCATTCTTCCAAGTGCAAAATGATGGCTTGATTGACAATCGGTTCGAATTTTCGTGCAAAAAATAACTGCTTACTCTCCGTTGACAGTAAACGTGGCCAATCTTCATTTTTAAAATCATTTGGACTGCAACCGCACCAATCGACAACATGTTTGTATTGACATTTGCAACCCAATCGACGTTTCCAATTGGTTACATGCAAATTATTATCGATGTATGTGTGACAGAATTGCGAATTTCGTAAAACCGTATGGAAAAATGATTCGGCCGGCAAAAGTGTATGATTGAATATTCGAAGTAGGCCAGTCAACAGTTCATCGGGTTGATGGTCATCGATTGATGTGATGTATTTAACAAATGTTCGGGATAGGCCAACCCAATCGCTGCCACCATCAATTTGAATGCCGTGCGGTAGGTCACGATCACCAATTCGCCACATGTGCGTATCACATTCAACGAATGACTTATCTAATCCCTGTTTCTGAATGAAACGTTGCACTTCACGTCCATGCGATTTAACAAAATTTTTATCACGATTCGCACTTAAAAAATTAACTAAGCTCTCTTTGGTCTTCACCAGAAAATCGCTTTCACTTAAATTTATGATGAAATCCCATTTCCAGTCGGCGGTTTGTAATAATTCAGTCATCGATGCCAATAACATACGCAACAACGAGGCACCACCCCATATTGTTGAATATCGTTGACGTGCCAAACGTATATTATTTACTTTTTTCTCCAATTTTAACAACTCTTCATACATATAATCTTGACGCTGCAAAGAATAGAATAGAAGAAAGGGTCACTTTTGTTACTCATCGTATTGTTTTTTTTTTAAAAACTGGCACAGATAATGCGACACAAATGCAAAATACTACTAACGAAATATCAACTGAATACGTTCACAGAGTCAACTGAAATTTCGTCACTTGAAGGATAGTCTTTCTTATAAAGGAATGAATTTTGCATTTGTGTCGGTTTACAAACTTTTCACCACATCCAGTATTTAATTTCAAATTAATCAATTTAGAGAATTTATGAGTCTGATGTGTTTGTGGTCAAAAGTGTTTAACGGATTAAAAAGTTTTGGTCACAAAAATCAGACAACAATTTTAACATAACGTGTGCGGATGGAAGACAGTTTTAAGCTTACCGAATCAACATGAATATAGTAATAATGCTCTTCGCTATATAATAATTTTAGTAGTCGATGCACTTGACGTACTGCACGGCCATTCAGTGTCAGCAAAAATGCAATCCGAACTTTTGGTAACTCGGATTTTATGGCTAATACACCCGTCTGTGGAATGAATTCTGAAAATGGAAAGAAAAGGAAATCAGATTCAATTTATTGTGAGATTCGATGATATTTGAACAAAATCAACTCACGTTTAATACCAGTTTCAAAGACATTGATTGTAAAATAACCGCCGCACAATTGTTTTTGGTCTCCAGAACATTTGTAATTGCATTCGGGATCAGGTAATTTTGCCGTATTCTCTGGTATGGAATTTCCACAAAAACATTCAGTTCTGCAAAGAGATGAAAATGAATAATTTCTCAAGCACTAATCAAACGAAAACTTTTTCAAATAAAGTGAAATATGAATTCTAAATCTCTCTGGATTCAAACTATATCAAAAACTGAGCCATTTTCAAACCGAATATGAATATATGTAAAATAAAATTGAATAAAAAAATCGAATCTTTATTAAAATTCAAACTGTCCAACTGACTTACGAATATTGAACGCCAGCATAAACGAAACCGGATTGCAGACACAGTTGAATACATTTTGTGGGTGTGTTTGTTGTCTTAAAATTGATATAATAACCGGAGAGTGTTCGAAATTTTTTATCGTCTTTGAAACAGCCAAGCGGTTTATTTTTATTGTACGGTTCGTGTGGGCAGTAATTAGGCAAAGTGTTCGGATAAAACGTACCACTTTGTATGGCACATGTTGTATTTGCAATTAGCTCTTTACATTGACGACTTTGGGCACGATAAATTGCTGAGATGGCTTCTTTCGCCACAATATCGCATATTGGCTTAAATTTATTTATATCTAATTTTAAATTCGTATCGGACGATGATGATGGTGTCAATTTCACTTGATTACTCTTACTATTATCGCCCTTTGTATCTTTGGCGACATTCAAATGAATCTCATTGTGAATATTATTGGTATTGATTTGATGATGACCGTTAATGCCACCTTTGGCCGATGAGGCCACAAAAATTTTTGGTAACGCTAGACCACCGCCACCTGCGCCGCCCACAGTTAATTCTTTGAAATTAACAATTGGATTGCTATTGCTTATGTCTTCATCATCGAATGCCATCGTCTCTTCGTCATGGAATAATTCATCGAATGCCGCCTGATTTTTATATCCATTTTGAATTTCAATTAAATTACTGTACAACGATGCAGCGTTCGAATTGTAAATGTCATCGGTATTGCCAAATATTGGTAACAAATAACCGAGAAATAATTGGATTGCAAAGAGTATCAAACCACCAAAAAAGAATAGTTTGTAACGCCGCAACCATTGTACGGATGCCGAGGAAGTTTCAGTCATTGCCATTCAATCAAGAGATCGTTATTTTGTTTCGTCGATAATTTTATCACTTTATCAAGCCAACTCATAATCGAATCAAATTGTAGCTCCACTTCATTCCGTTGAATTATTCGACGAGATACTAGTTTAGCGCTGTCAAAACACTGATTTGCTTCACAATTAAATAGAATTGAACAAAACAAACAAATAAATAAACACAACAATTATTCACGGCTCACATAAATTTCTTTCTAACATATTCATTTTATGTAGATTTTATATTCGAATGAACAATTTAACCGTACAAAAAATAATCGATTTTTTTTCTATCCAAATGTAATTGACGAAATAATAAATGTAGTTTTTAATCGATTTTGACCCCGATTTGTATCGTTTTTCATCAACTTTTCACATTTCCGTAGCTGACGTTTTGGTTGCATTTATGTTTCTACCTATCTCCCACTCTCTCAGACTGACAGTTGATTTCCGATTTTCTTACCTTTTATTTATTTCATTTGTATTCATTTGTTCCATGAATTTTCTCCAGAGGTCGCCAACAACGAACATACATTTTCTACATGCTGAAAAATGGAAATAATACCGCTTTTTTTCACCATTTTATTAATTATTTTGAAATTTTTTACAAATCATCATTTCTTAAATGGTATGACAGTATCTTAAGGCACATTTTCTCATTAAATATTCAAATCTTCGTCTGGATCTTCATCGTCAAAATCATCATCTAAATCGGGTTCATAGTGAATTTGACCAGTTTGGGGTGCATTCGATTGTCTATACAATAAATTAGATGTTGATAAAAAGGCGATTTAATTCATTTGAATTGGTGATTACCTTTCGTATGGCAATTTCAATGCGTCCCTTGATGCTTGCTCGCCACTGCCAGCCGATATCTTAAACGTGGCCAATGATTCTGGATCGATGGCTGGTGCTGTATTTTGCTTTTTTGTTGTTTCTTTCACCTTTTCTCGTACCGATATTTCATAATTTGAAGCTATTGTGTATTGATAGACCTGAAGATATGACGAATGACAAATGTGTTTAATTTGTTCAAAAATTATAATAATTTCACATTTCGTACCTTTCTTGTAATCGAGCCCGTATTTCGTTTGGTCAATATTTGTAATTCGCTCGCATTGTTCAGAAACACTTCAATATTTGCCATGTATTGCAGAAATGGAATGACTTTCTCGTCTTTTATATTTTTTGTGGAACACCAAATGAAAATTTGCTTCACTTTTGAACATTGTTTTAAGTAATGAACCAATTGCACAATATCTGCTATGCTATTTGTGAGCTGAAGTTTGGCAATTGGTGGGAGTACAATATTTGATTTTTCTGCTGTTGCAAGAATTTCACAAATGTCCGCTTTAAAATTTGGTCCAATCACTGGAGTGTCATTTGTTTTTGGATAAAAGACGACTGGTGATGAACCGGCCACCGACTGTATCAGATCTTTTGCAAATGGTTCATATGAATTGTTGTCTGAAATTGTTAAATTTAAGGTTAAGTCTTCTTTATAACTCACACAGTTCAATGCAAGACATCTTGAACTTACCAACAAACAGCACCACCTTTTCCGATCCAATCACCCAATTACTTAGCATTATTGTTGAATATTTTGTAAAGATATTCAAACGAAAAACAATCTAACAAAATTCTACGGATTGTACGTGTATGTGCGACTACAAACTTGACAGCCAAGTGCTTTGGAATTTCAAACAAACGTCAAACTTGTCAAAAAAAAAATCGGTGCTTTGCATTTATTCGAAATAAAAAAAAATATATGAATGAATGAAAAAAAGAAGAATATTTGTGCTCTTATTAACTTAAAACGACATGTAAAAATGGATGTTTTTTATGGTTTTTCATTGGCCGATTTTTGTGAATCGGTATTGAGTCGCATGCCAAGTGTGCTCAACAGACTACTGGTTGGACCATGATTGCCAAATTGTGCCTTATAACTTTCAGCCAAATTTTTCATTGCGTTCACATCAATGTCAACCGGTTCAAATGATTCGATATCATCGAAATCTTCATCATCGTCACCGTCATCATCGTCTCCACCATTTGCATTCGCATTACTGACATTCGGTTTTGTTTTAAAGCTGCTGCCGATTGTGGTAGCCGCCAATTCACGGTCCATTTGTTCCATGTATGCTGAAAATGTGGCTGCATTTGAATTGGCCACCATATCAATATTCCGTTCGATATTCTCGTCATCAAAATCGCTCATCGAATCTGAATGTGAGTCCCAATTGTCCTCCGGAATCACAAAGTCAAGCATATCCTTGAGATGTGCTTGAAAGGCGTCTGCATTGAAATCAATATTATTGTTCCCTGTATTTTGAGTATTATTTGTTGCAGCAGTCGTTGTTCGCGTCGTCGTCGTCGTCGTCATCGCTTCATCTTTTAACATAGGCCGAAAATCGACGCCATCAAATTCCGATTTTTGTTGTAAAAATGTGTTTAAATTTACACCGAGATCATTGGCATCATTCTGACTGTCGTCCGTGTTGCAGCGCAATGTCTTCTTGATGCCATATCGTTCGTTCATCATATTATCTAAATCATCCTGAGATATATTCATCCAGTCTTCGTTATCATTTAATGATGAATCAAATTCGGATAAAATGTCCGTTTTATATTGTTCGTGTAAAGTACTCATGTGCTTTAAATGTTGATGAATATCGCGTGCAACGGCATCTATAAATGTGGAATGATTTTCGGAAACGATTCTGAAGTACTGTTTTGCCGCCTCAAATCGTTGTGTATACGCTTGTGATCCTTCAATGGCATCACCATAGTATCCATTTTGTTCCAATTGTTTGGCAAATAATTGCCATCCTTTGGACTGAACCACATCAATTTCATTCTCATTTTGTGCTTTGGACGCACAAATCTCCAAGCCACATGCAATTTTCATGCCCAAATTATGCGCTGCATATGTTTCATGTTTTTCATCCGGCAAATTCCAACCGGTTCGTTGATTCGGCTTGTAATTATGATATGTTAGTAACGCATAAAGGCATTTGGTGAATGTTATTTGTGTATAAACGCGGGTTTCGGGTGGAAAATGTTTCATGGCACGGCATATTTTCATTTCAATTGGATCACGATTACAAAATGATCGCACTGCATACGAAATCAATTGCGGATTTTGTTTTAACAGCAATGCAGCCGATATTGGCAAGTAAACACAAGCTCGATGCAATAAGGTACTCTTTTTAGCGTTAACAAAACGCTGCTCTATACATTTTATAATCTCATTCGATTCATAAAGATGCCGATTTTCGCGAACATTTTCCACCCCAACGGATATTGGAAGCACATCATTTTTATCAGTTTCCGATGAAATGTCATTTTGTACTAAAAGGATGCGACCACTTGAAATAAACACCTGAAAAATGTAGGAAAGCAGAGAAAAGGAATAGTAAGGACGACCTAAGAATTCTCAAAATAAGCAACATTTGAAAATAAATACTTTTTTAAGGTTTTTGATCCAAAAGAAAAAAGAGTCAAATTACTATTACAAAATAATAATTAAAAAATTATAATAAGATGGTTGAAATTCTACTAACTCTTTGAGCACAAGTATCTGGATTGGCCCATCTTGGTAAGACCTCGGCAGCTTCAATCAACAGAAATTCACCGTCTGCATCAAAGACACGTCCAATCAAATGCGGATAGATCGTCGTTAAATGATTAATAATTTCAACAATAAACCATTCATCCTGAATGTTTTCACCGTAAAATGTTAGTCCGTAAAGGTGTGGCGGTAAATCATCTAAAAACCATTCCCCACAGAACAATGTCAATAATCAAATGAAAAAAAAATTCAAAAAAAAATGATTCATACCTTCAATTTTACTTTCATTAAATAGCCTTGATGTTTCTGGCGTACGCACAACTAATTGAAATGGTTCCTTGTGCCAAATATAATCAACCGAAAATTTTTGTACGCTTTCGTTAACATCGCGTAGAAAATTGTCCAATTTTTCCGTCGAATTATTACCATTGAGGTCGTTTAACGATGGGAATAAAAAATATTCCACAAAGTCATCGGCCCGAATAACTTCAGTTCCCCGTTTTGCATCCATTTAATTTTGAATGTATGCCAATTATGAACCAATTATGAAAAAAAATCCGAATCAAATGAAATGAATATGACTTTGAACTTCTTTTTGTTTTAATTGAGTCGATATTTAATACTGTCATAACATCAAGCAATTTGACACATTGGTGGGATAACCTAACATTTTTTGACGGTAAAAACAGCTTATAGCGCATACCGGACACATATTGTTTGTTCTGTATGTTTTTTTCTTGCAGTCGTCAGAGAGTCCCATTTTGTTTTTTTTTTTTTCTTTCTTCAAAGAACTTTCATTGTGATCAATTGCTATGAACTGAAAATGCAATAATAATCGATGTATATGGCAAATTGAAGAAAAAAATGAAAACTTTTTTTTTGTCTCTCTTATGAATATTTTTATTTTATTCTTATAAAGTTCTTAAAAAAGGATCATCATATTTGTTTTTTATTCTCATCAGTACAAAAAAAGAAAGAATTGCTATGTATTTCAAATTCAAAGAAAATCTTATCGATGGAATCCAATCAGTCTGACTGTGCATCGGTATGGTGTTGTTGTTGTTGCTTCGTATGCATCATTCTCAAACCTCCATGGCTAGGGAATTTGAGTTTTCATTTAGACGTGCATCCATTATCATGTCAGCACCATTGCTGGGGCCATTGTTATCGTCTTCATCCATTGTCGCTTGGTTATTTTCGTCGAAGACATCTGGATTTGATGCATCATCCATGTTCATATCGCCATTGGTCGTTGTGCTTGAATCATCCCAATTGATTTTGAAACGAGTCACACGCGGCTTTGTCGCCAAAATATTTCGCGTTAATTTTTCAAAGATTGGCTTTGGTGGTGGCACCTCTTTCAGCTCCGGATCGGTATAATCATTATTTATGAAATAACCAACACGAACAAATTCTTGGCCACGATATGAACATGTTAACAGTACAATTGTCACGCCGACAGCATCTTGCTCTACAGAAGAAAAAAAACAACAACAAATAAATTTGATTATGCTTTAAAATTTGTAACATCAATGAATAGAGAATATTGTTCGAAAACAAAATGAACGGAATTTTTCGCCGTTTTGTGTATGTTTGTGTGAGTGTGTGTGTGTGTTTATATGTGTGTGTGTGTGGTGAAATGGTCGTCATTTACCTGGAATGCGGGTTACATCTGGTGGATCAGCTTGAAAAACAAAAATGTGTCGTCCCTCCGGCACTGGTCCAACGTATATTGTATCCAATATTTGATCATGAGCCTCTGATTCAGCTGAACCGACATAGATCATTTTCCATTCCAAATCTTCCTTCAGTTCTTCAATGCATTCGAAAGTGAGCTCAAATTGAAATGGATTGAAAAAGCTGCTTGGATTGTCGAGAACGACAACATTTGTGATGTGTACTTTCGCCATTTGGTTGCCGCTATTTTCCTCTCAACTATTCCAAAAAAATTTTTTTAATTCGATCTTGCGAGTCTCCTGGTCGTTTGGTTGGTGCCGCTGTTCAATCAATTATACAGTGAATAACAACAGATTTCTTTACACCACCAGACGAATGCAACTTTTTCACTTCGCTTTGATTTCAAACTTCACAAACAAATTATTTTCACTATTGCAATATTTTTCAACTAATTTTCCTTTGAATTTAACAAGCAACGTGTTTTGATGTGTGGAATATTTTTTTTTCAGTGAATGATAAAAAAAAAATGAGCAACAACTTTTTAAAAAAACGACGATGAACTATTTCAATCAACTTTGTTTGTGCTCTAGCCCTTCTGTCACTTGCGCGCCAAATAACAGAAAGTCGCGGTTAAAGTATTTCATTCGTGAGTCACGAACATGTCACGATCGAATTTTGTTGGCATCGAAACGCACCTTTACACCCAGAACGGTTCACATTAAGAGACACAAAATAAAACATTGCAACAAGTAACTTATCTTTAGACATTTAAATATATATGGAATTTCCATGATACTATCACAATTTTTTGTTCAAATTTTTTGCTTGAAGGTCATAGAAGCAAAATTGTATCTTTATATGGAATTCTTCAAATGATACAAATTATCTATTGCATCCTGTTTGTATTAGTTGAAAATATGTATGTTCTGACAAGCGCAAATCAACAACAACTTTCTTCCGAGTAATTGATGTAGAAAAACAATCATCATAAAAAAAAAATTTGGCATTGCATGTGTATTGTTTATTTTCGGTGATAAAAAATACTGAAATTACAATACATGACTCATAAATAATATTCAAACCGTGTTTTTGTTCATTGAATTGATGGACCTTTTCAGATTCATTTGATCGGTAGATGAGTGTTGTTGGTGAAAAAATTTTAGCAGTGCAAACGACCAAAACCAAAGAGAAAACATATTAAATTACAGGTATGTATATGCGTGAGCATTAACCATACTTGTGCATAAGTTTATATACGCGCATCAATTTCCGAATTCATTAAACGACATAACACAAAAGGTGTCACATTTCAATACATTAGCTACGCAATTTAATTATAAGCCGTGTTTATTACGATAACGTATTGAATGAATGTAAACATATGGCGACGTATTTTCCATATGGTTTTTTTTTCGTATTACATTTTTTGCAATGTTACTATTATAATTCATGCACTTGACCGAATGACTAGTTTATTATCGTCATAATTTTTTGTTTTGTCCGATCAATGCGGATACCTGTTGCGCTAATAATAATGCACTTCTCTCTCTCTCTCCCTTTCTCTTTAAATGTATCGATTTCACTTTCGGTTTTAATTTCAGAGCGATTTGTTGCGGTGAAGAAAAAAATTCAAACGGAACTATGGAATCAACATCCGATGCCCGTACTGGCAATAAATATGCCAACTTTCATCTAATGTACTTAATTTTACAGCTTATCGGTTTTACATTGATGATATTGATGTTTTGCTGGGTATTTATTTATCTCGGCGGATTGAGTTGGTCAGCAACACCGAACATTCAATTTAATTGGCATCCACTTTTAATGACGATTGGAATGATTTATCTCTATGGAAATTGTAAGAGAATATTTTTTAAGCATAAAAATTGTACAGTTTGTAATTTTTTTTTTTTCATATTTAGCCATATTAGTCTATCGTGGTGTTCGATATGCTCGAAAACGTAGCTTGAAAATTTCGCATGCTTCAATATTTGGTGCAATAATGTTTCTGACATTGATTGCAGCTTGGGCCGTTTATGATTCACATGTTTTAAGGACACCACCTATTCCAAACTTATACTCGTTGCACTCTTGGATTGGACTTATTGCGATTATTTTATTTATTCTGCAGGTAATTTGGAAAATTTAATAGGATATTAGGTAAAAACAATCAATATACGTTTGGATGTAGATTTAGTTAGAACTTTCATAGCATTTGTGACAGCGGAGAATTCTTTAAACTAAAAATGTCTTCTCTATTCCAGTGGTTGGGTGGGTTTTTCTCATTTTTGTATCCAATAATAACGGCACAGCAACGTGACTCATTTATGCCAACTCATATTTACTTTGGACTTGCTGGATATATTATGGCAATAGCAGCAGCATTGTTGGGCCTATGTGAAAAGGCTCTCTTTCAAATGTGAGTCAATATATTTCCATCTTTGTTTTTAATTTACTTTTTCTTTTTTGTTCATTGTCACATTTATGTTTAATTTTTTTAGGCCAAAAACGTACCCCGAATTGCCTAATGAAGCTGTTATCATCAATACAATAGGCATATTGATAGTTACATTTGCTGCGTTGGTCGTGTACTTAGCAACACATCGGCAATTTAAACGTCTTCCTTTGCCTGAAGACGCAATCTTGTTGACCGGCCACGATGAATAAACTTTCTTAAACTTTTTCGACTTAAATATTATACTTGCATAAAAATCAAAAGAAGACTATATACATTATACACGCACGAAAATATTGTGATTTGATGAAATCCAAATTTATATACTATATACTATATTTTATAAAAAAAAAATCAATGCAACAATTGTTGAGTGAGATTTTTTTTTTGTGTCAAGGGACTGTGTATTTAAAATTTTGCTCATGTTGTTTTCTTTTGTCTCATATATTTTTTTTTATTCTAAAAATGTATAACATTGTTTTACAAGATGCAATATTAAACCAATAAATTAAAATACATTTTTATTCTTATTGTATTAACAAAAAAATGAAAATACGTTACGGTATAAATTGAAGTAAGATGTTGATTTAACGGAAATTTTTCGTCGCGGTGATCGTGCCTCTTGTTCCATTTGTGAAAAAAGTGAATCTGTTGTGAATTTGTTTTTCGTGGCCAAGATATTGAATGATTTTAAACATCAACACTGTTAGATCATTTAGTAAATCACCACCAGAGTTCGAAAATATATGAAAATATATTAAATGACGTTTTCTGTGAGAACAATGTCAAACACATATGTATTCGTAAAATACTGTCGCTCATACGCTTGACGTTACCAGTTTGACTCATCATTTAAAAACTACGCATTGAGCAAATATTTTTTTTTCAACACTGTTTTTACCGGTGGTGAAGTATCGCCAAATCAAAGTTTCGTTTGTAAGTAAAAACATTATTTGAACGCTCTAGAATAAAAACAACGTACAGAATGGTTCTAGGGGGTAACCACGCTTTTTTATCCACCAACATTTAACTTTATTCTTAAAATCTGATTAAAACTCAAATATCTCAAAGTATTCAATTCTGGAAGTTAGTTTCCTCAGGATCATCAGAACGCTCCCAGTTCTAGAAGTCTAGGTCAAACCATAGTCTGGTCCATCCTGAGGATCCACCAAAGCCCACATCCAGAATTATTTTTAGATCAGAATATCTGACAATATCTCCCAAAAATGTAAATTTACGTTCATATCTCTCGATAGCTCTTGAATTCGTTGAAATCTCCTGAATTTGTTCATATTCATAATCTCCTGAATTTGTTCATATTCATATTCATTTGTTCATATTCATTTCTATATATTTAAAAGCGCGGTTACCCCCTAGGAATGGTTGTTATATCAAAGCGGAACACGGCGTTTTTTTATATAGAATTTTTGTTGTATTACAACAACAAATCTATGTTAAAAAAACGCCGTGTTCCGCTTTGATATAACAACCATTCTGTACTTTGTTTTTATTCTAGAGCGTTCATTTAAAAAAAAATATCGATAACAATTGTTCATTACTGGTGTCGGCCAAATCTGAATAGACTGTATTGAATTGTTTTGTGAAATTCAAGAGTAATGTAAGGCATTCTTCAATTTTTATTAGGGAAAGTAAATGTTTAAATCGTAATGGAGAAGGTTATAAGCAAACTCCCTTCCGATCGAATGCTGTACGTTTGGCCGATTGAATCAAGTGTAAGTTGAAATTTCAGCACTACAAGAAAACAAAACATATGCGTGAACTTATCTGATCGATGCATTTCGATGCAATTTCAGATGCTTCATCGTATTAAACCTTATTTGGATCAGTTCGGTGAAATTGAATCTATGCGACTTCATGTGGAAGATAATTTTAAATATGGTTATTGTCTGCAGTTTAAAACGGCCAAAAGCGTATCTGCTGTTCTTTCAAAATCATCACACGTTAAAATAGATAACCGCAACTTTAAAGTTAGAGCTGGTGGCTCTGGTAATAAGCCGTCATTAGTACCAGAATCGTTATTTGAAGAACCACCAGATGAAGGTTCTTCATCGAATATCCTCGCCGCACTTAATGATGATTGCCTGTCTGCAGTTTTTCAGCATTTGGAATTGATGGATCTTACAAGCGCAGCCCAAGTTTGTGTTCACTTTCAAAAACTCGCCCAAGAAACATTCAAAATCAAATTCAAAATTTTGCAACTTGAACTTAAGTCCAAGTCAATAAGTAAAATTACAATGAAAAGGGAAGAAGTAGAAATGATCTTAAGAAATTTCAGCCCAGTCATTCAATCACTTAAGGTTGATTCAATTAATTTTAATATTGACGATGACTCTTCTTTTTTTATGCTACCCATAAATTCACCGTATTTACGTTTGATTAGTAAATATGGTTTAACACAGCTGCGAGAGCTTGAATTATCGAATTTCAAGGTGAAAGAAAATCCCGAATCCGAAGAACTTCGTCCACTTTTTTCACAATTGGAAAAGTTGCATTTGCACAATTGCAAATTCGATGAGAGTATGAGGGAATCATTCAGCGCATGTAAGAAATTAAAAACATTTCATTTTGTTGGCTGTGAAATAAGTTCTGGTATATTTATCGAGCAAAACTTTCCAAAGTTAGAAGAAGCACGTTTCATTAACTGCAGTGGATTGTATGAATCTAATTTGCGCAATTTCATGAAATTGAATCCAACATTGATAAAGTTTTCAGTTACTCTAAATTATCACTATTCTGGATTGAAAGATATGGATATAATACAATTGATTTATGAAACTCTTCCCCATTTGACGGAACTTGAAATTGATCTAAGACACTACGGTTGCGATTTAAATAGAAATATCATATATTTTGGGCAGATGAGTGCGTTAACGGTATTGAAATTAGGGTGTGGAGCTGAACCTGTGGCAAAACTGCTAGAATGTTTGGCTAGCAATAAAGCTCCAATCGAACATTTAAATTTGCGTAGCGCTGACATCAATGATGAAATCATCGCACAAGTTGCCAAAATGAAACAAATCAAAATTTTGGATTTGGTCAATATTTATGGAGAACTGTGCGATGAACATTTGATTGAGATAGCAAAGGGATTGCCACAACTCGAACAACTAGATTTGAGAGATGATAAATTGTTTAAGTATGGCAATTCTTATAAAGTCACCATCAGCGGATTGAAAGCGATGTTATTATATGCAAACAATTTGTCGTTAATTAATATTGAATCAATTGAAAGTATTAAGATCAATGTAGAAGCTTACCAATCAATGCTCACGACTATTCAAAATCGGTCGAAAGAAGTGAAAGTTTTGATTAAAATAAAAAGCTATGGAAAAAAGAGTTATGTTCCCGAAAGTATTTTAGCTGCAAATCGTGAAATATTGTACATCGATGAAACCATTGAAGAGAAACCATTTCAATGCACATGTGGAAGAAGTTGTTTCGATAGCTCTAACTGCATATGCCCTGGACGCGATGAAACATATTTTCGATTTCTATCCGATCTAGATATAGTCACATCCGATGAGAGGGACTTGTTTCAATTAGATTCAAAATCCATTTCGAAATACAGATGCAAAAATAAAAATCCATTTTAATATTAGAGCATAGTCAATAATCCTTCCAAGACTCAAGACAACCTCAAATGCTGAATACTACGCATAGGACGCATAGCTGGGCAGATTATTTTATTATAGTATTTAATATTGTCATTTTATGAATATATTATGTGTCTCATATATTTTTTTTTATTCTAAAAATGTATAACATTGTTTTACAAGATGCAATATTAAACAAATAAATAAAAATACATTTTTATTCTTATTGTATTAACAAAAAAAAAATGAAAATACGTTACGGTATAAATTGAATTAAGATGTTGATTTAACGGAAATTTTTCGTTTACGTCGCGGTGATCGTGCCTCTTGTTCCATTTGTGCAAAAAGTGAATCTTTTGCACGCCAAAAATTGTCCTGGCGTGTCTCAACTTCCTTATACCTGAAATTACCAGAAAAAATTGATTATATAAGATTATTTTCTAAAAAGTGATAGAAAAATACAGGAAACCCCAATAGAATTACAAAGAAAAAAATTAGCACAAATAATATGTATTGGAGTATCCTTTTATAGAAGAAAATTTCTTATACCATGATTCGGATCGTGTATTCGTTGTAGCAACTGGCGGTTGTAATAATTGCCATCCATTTTTACCATCCCATTTTGCAATCGTTTGTAGCAATTCTTTAACTTCTTCGGGTGGCACTTGTGTTACGGTGCTAATTTTTGTCCGATCGATAAACTCATTGCGATGAAATTGATAAATAATATAGTCACGTGCACGGCACATGAGCTCAGCTGAAACTCCATTTGTTGATGACACCGTTTTCGGTGGATAAATAACGTCCGATTGTACGACCCAATTGCCATGAATCATTATACCAACCGAAGTCAATGCTCCACGAATTTTGGCATCATCGTATATATTTTGATTGATAATTTCTGACAGTCTATCGTATGATACTACTTTAGCTAAATAAATGTGAAAACATTTGATAAATTAATAACTTATTACGTACAAACAAAAAAAAGTGAATAAAAAAAATATCTCACCATCTTTTAAAATGTACCGAACTTGATCGATTAATGGAAATGTTCTCAATTTGCTCATGCTGCATACGGTTGATGCTCCCGAAATATCAGCATTACTAAAATCACGTTCGGCTGGTATTAAAATATCTACATAATCATTTGCTGGTAAACTAAGTGCATGACCCGTTGATTCATCTTGAGTTGAGAATAATTTTTCTCGTTCCATTGCTGCTTGATGGCTGTCTTGTGAACACCAGACCGTTTCACACCACGGTTCATCTTCGCTTTTCTTCAATAAATAATTGAATGATTTTTCGCGTGCTTTACGACTGCGATCGGTTTCGGTGCGTGCAAATTTGACGGTAACATGTTTTGGTTCCTCTTCTTCAACATCGCTTTCTTGTTCGGCTTTTTGTTCAGCAATTCGTCTCGATTCCGATTTATCAAAATGTGAAAAACTCGGTCGCATTTGAATAATCCCATTTACAAGTGATAAGTGCATTTGTTTTCCTTTTTTATTATAATTATCCATATAGCCAACGACGTATCTCTTTGGATTGTCTATTGATTTTGAACTCACAAATGTTTGATAATCCATTGTACCACTATTATACATTCGTTCGCCACGATCCTATAAGAAGATTACAATTAATAGATGTCCAGCAACATGAATTTTGAAAGGAAAAAAACACACACACAAATTGACAAACCTTTCCATCGGCCGCTATTGCCAATTGTTCACCTTTGAATGCATCATAATGCCGTGACGCTGTATCTAGTTTTAATTCAAGTTTTATCTCTTGATTTATTGGCTTCACAAAACTATTCATAATCACAGCATCATTTTTATTTTCATTGGATTTTCGGGTTGGATATTGCAGAACATATAGGTTATCGGCAAGTTGTTTTGAAAAATATACGGGAATCTAAAAACAACAAACACATTACATACCAAGAAAATTTTATGTTTGAATTTAAAACGCTCACCTCATCGATGATTTCATCATCGCTCGTTTCCAATTCGTTTTCCATTTGAATAGAAAAAAACACTTTTATTGATAAACAAAAAACGAATGTATTTTACAAAACTTGAAACAAATTACTTCAAATAATTAAAATTTGACGTCTCTTATGACATCGCCGTTCAATACCACGATTGAGCGTGAAGTTGGCCTCGTTTCATACATACACATCGTAACATATAAATGACACAGTTTTATGGTTTTTTAAATTTAATTTTCTTTTACTTTGAAATGATTTTTTACCTTTTGTTTCGAATTCAATGATAATGCTTATTATTCGAAGTTGAAAAAACCATTATCGATTTTGTAATAAAACGTTTCATTTGATTGAAACAAAATCTACTATTGGCATTCGTTGCGATGCCAGTTCTCGGTAAGGCATTGAAAATTGTAGAGGATTTTAGTTATTTATGAACAAAAGAATGCAAAGTAACGAGGAAATTAAAAATGATAAATATGCATTTAAACAAAACGATAATGAGATAGCAGGAAATGTTTCAAAGTAAAAACAATAAAAAAAAGACGAATGGAATGCAATTTTACAAAAAAGACATTATTGATCAAATCCACACAAACACTTGAAAATTTATAATAAAACGATGAGCACTTCTTATATCCAATTTCGATGTGTCTCGATCAGTTGCATTTAGGCGAAGACTAAATAAATTACATAAACCAATATGGTGGCGATATTGAAGACTATTTTACCCATCGTTAACATTCAGTTTCTAGTTTCAGTTGGTTTGGCTGAAACTATTGGAGCATTGGCCCGAACAAGTTGAATTTTTTTCCAAGTTTTAGTGCTTTTCACAAAGATTTTATTGTGTTTTTTCATCAACTGTTTCATTTCTCCTTTTATTTGCGTCAAATTTTAATTCATCAAAACAATATCATCTTGAAAGTTAAAGGCACCACGCATTATGATTGATGCCGTTATTTTGACCCCCCGTTATTTTTTTGTTTTGAAGTGGCTTTAAGATTGTCAGCGCCTAAAATACGGCGGTCATATTCATTGCATTGCATCACATCAAAAAATGTAAAGGAAACCTTTCTTCTTTTCTTTTTAGAATGTGAACAGTATATGGAGAATGCGTTTAAAATATCGTCAATGACAAGTTTAAAGTATGGTGTTGCAAAATGTGATCCGTTGATGATACCGTTGATAGTTGGTGGTACACGAGTGGATCGTACCGAATTTCCTCATATGGCAGCCATTGGTTTTGGTCATTCAAGTGGTTTGGTCTATTTATGCGGTGGAACATTAATCAGTGAGCATTTTGTGATGACCGCAGCTCATTGTGAAAAAGATCGAAACAGGTTTGCATGCTTTTCTTTTGAATACAAATACATCAAATGTGTCCAATGTAAATAATTACTTAGAGGTCCTGCGAGAGTTGTACGTTTGGGGTCGATAGATTTAACAACCAATGACGATCACACGCATATAATTCCAATCGATAAAATCTATTCGCATCCTGATTATAAGACGAGCAGCAAGTATAATGATATTGCTCTAATACGCTTAGCGCGCAGTATCTATTTTAATGAATTCATTCGGCCAGCTTGTATAAATGTGAATAATAATGTGGAATGGACGACAGCGATTGCCACTGGTTTTGGACTTACATCAAATGGTAATTGGACTTGCTTGGTAGACTCTTTAGAATTTACATTTATGTGGAAAGCTACTTTTTCTATAATCTAGATCATTCAATTGGCAGCAGTCATTTGCTGAAAGTTCAACTTAAAAAATTCACGCTAAACATATGCCAAAGAGCCTACAAGGTTAATTAAATGCATTCAATTTAATTTAAACGAAAATAACAATGTTTTTGTAGGCAGATCGCTTTATGAAACGTAGCGTAATTGAATCCCAATTGTGTGCCGGAGATTTAACGGGAAGTAAAGATACATGTAAGTTCATAAAACCAAATCATTTTTTTTTTTTTTTCAAAAGATGATGACGGAGATGAAAGGGTTTAATTTTCCATTTCAAATTGAATTTATTCTTTTGAATGTTTAACAGGTCAAGGCGACAGTGGCGGACCACTTCAGGTTTATGCCATATATACTTTGTAGCTATAATTTAAAATGAAAAGCTTAAACTTCTTTTGATGCGAAGTGGCATACTTCACATGAAAACTTGTTGACTCACAAACCCATCATAAAAGCTATCATTCGTAAGCTTGGAAAGAGTGAAAGTGAAAAAAAGAATATATAGAGAGAGAGAGAGAGAGAGAGAGAGAGTGCGAATGAGTTCAAAAAGAAGAATTTTTTTAACCTAGAGGGTAAAATCAATTTAATTTTAACAGTTTTTCTTCTCTTTTTCGTTCATTGCAGATTGTGATTGCAAAACCGCATTGTGTGTACAGCGTCATCGGGATAACATCATTTGGAAAGTCGTGTGGCTTTCAAAATACACCAGCCATTTATACAAATGTTGCACATTATACAAGCTGGATTGAACAAATGGTTTGGCAAAATATTTCAAACACCATAAGCACATCCAATTAAAACATTTAAGATTTTTCGAAAATAACTTTCGTAAATGTGTGTGTTTTTCTATTTCTTTTTTTTTATTGGACAACTAGATTACAAGTTTAATCCAATTTTCTAGCAAATGTTTCAATTTGTAGCATCAGAACGTCAGCCATGGAAAATGACAATATAAAAAATAAACAAAAATGGATTTAATGAAGCGAAAAGATCTTTTTTCGAATGCAAATCATGTTTCATGTTAATCGTTTTTGAAATGGTCGATTTAACTGGCATCGTCAAGCGAGAGTAAATTATTTTTTAGAGTTTGTGTGAATGATGAAAATTCGTAATGAAGTGAAAACTGTTGTCAGCATATAAAATTGGTTGAATTTACGATAACGCACGATGTCTATCTAACTTTTGGGGTCGAGCGCACACACGCACAAAACCCACAACGTGTACGTGCTTTGTATCTCGTTTGTATCTGAAGTTGATGATAAAATCATTTGTCGCCAGTTTAGTTCGCCCTCTCCAAAAAACAACAAAAACAAAGCTAAAATGAAAAGAATCCATCGACTGTTGAGCCTGCCTGCCATTTATATGTGACAATTTGTACAGTACGATGCAGGAGAGTATTTAATATAATCCATGCGGATTGGAATATCTAATAAACAAGCCGATATTATTAAGGAAATACTCGAGAACGAGCGTAGCTTTTTTGCGCCCCCCGACCACCAATCTTATGGCAAAGAGTAAACATAAATACTCAATGAATTTGTAATTTTATACATCAAAGTTTTATAGATTGGCCATAGTGTATGTGCTTTAAGTGTGCTTGCCACCACCCTCACTCAGTCGCTTTTGCTCGCTTTCTTGTTGCAAGATCCGCACTTCCGCACCACTTGTAGCCATCAATAAAATTGTGTCTTAATTTATGTCAATGATTCGTTTATTTTTAAGTGTATGCTTATTCGTTCGTTTTTCTGTTGTTTTTCGATTGATTTAATGCTCATTTCATGCCATTTTCTGCGCTGGCATGTATGTGTGGACCGTATGTTTCGAATAGCAACCGACAACGATGATTATTAATTTTTCTTCTTCTTTTTTTTGCGTAATATATGTGTGGATAAAAATGATGATATATAATGTAAGGGAACGCATGAAAATTCCATAATACATAACCGTACACTCTTCCGATTCCGAATGCGTCTCCACGTGTTTATTTCTTTCTTTCAATACGACTTTTTTTCCACTCCATTTCGGCATCGGACTGTATTCCAAGAGTCAATAATATTCAATATGAAAATCGAGTCCGTATTCAAAAGACAGCTGTAATTTTTGTTCGTAACACACAGCGAGTGTTATATATTTCGTTCATTTTTCTGTGTATTTTTTTCTATCTAGTCGGTTTTTTTTTTTCAAATTATTATTATTATTAATCATCATTTGTATAAAAAGAAAGTTTTATTAATTTTATTCTTTATTTGATGGATTCATAAAGATTATTATTATTGATCATCGTTTCATAAATGAAAATCAGGTGCTAAATTGTTTTCGAAGAACTCTGTATTGTAGAAGTTTGCAAACGACGACCACAAACTGAAACATACAAACACATATACATGTATTTCTATATGAATATCCATATATTTTCGGTGGTGTATACAGTGATTGAGTACGTAAAAAATTGTTGATTGTTTGGTGTCCCTTACTTTGATTTTCGTCTTCGGTCGAACGAATTCCCCCGAGCTCAATTTGGTCAGGCGTGTATGTGTCGAGAGTTTGTGAAGCAGTAAACGATACGTGAATGCTGCGAAGCAGCTGGTTCGACTATATAAAATGGGTAAACAATTTATTTTTCTTGATATACATTGAACAAATTGAATGTTGTCGTTGATATAAATGGGATTTTTTTTTCTGCAACAGATAAAGAGTATTGTGAATAAAATTGAAATTGATATATGCTTTGAAATTCGATAGTCTGACAATTTTCGGTCTTTCAGCGTATCATAAAATGCACACAAATTTCAAATTGATTGCAATTTAGTAAATCAATTGTGCAAACGAATAAAATCAACAACCCGGTGATATATTGAACCGTATAATATATGTAATTTTAAACGTACATATGGGTTCGAAATCAATTCCACATTCATCCAGCCATATTTAATTAAGATAAATATATCATATCAAATACAGTAAATGATTGTTTATATGCGAGCAAATATGAGAGAAATGTGGATAAGAGAACTGAATACGAGTGGGAATTAAGGCAATATAGAGCAAACCAACAAAAATACCGTGAGCCAAAGCAAAAACAGAACAGAGAGCGAGAGAGAGTCGACATCAGTGAAATAGTACCGAAGAAAAAAGGGAAAAAAGCTCGCACGAATCTCCGCACATGCGTTCAAACCAATGTGTTTTCTTTTCATTTCAATTATGTAGATTATGGATTTGTTAATGTTATTGCTTTTCGTATTGCTACTATTGCCGTTTGTGCTGTTTCCGTGCAAAGCCACAAGGTAGAATGGGGTGAATTGGTAAGTTTTTTGTTCCCTCAAATCAGATCTCTTATCCGAGCGTAATATGCATACATACAGTACATTTGTGTATTGTTGTTTGTGTAGAGGTATGGCTGAAGCTTCTGTTGTTTTCGCTTTTTGGTTTTCTATAATTTTGTGTATGCGCCTCTCGGATTGCTGCTGACTATGATGATGACGATGACTTTTTATTATTGTTGTTGTTGTTGATTGTGTGTTGTTATAGTATTTTGCGCGAGTAACGATGATAGCGGAGTGGATTTAAAAGATGTGCAAAAAAGCCATAAGGGAAGAGGCATACACAATGAGGCAATATAATGCAAACCTCTATAGGAATACTAATATACTCTCTCTGCATTGAAACAATTTCAAACAAAATCTGATTGCACACACTATAGAAATAGTACATAGAGGAAAATCTGTGTGAGAATGGCGCGAGCTCACTCGCTATGCGTACATAAATGTGGATGAATAGAGAGATGGATGGGTGGATTGGAGTGTCATTCAAAATATACTGTCGTTGGCTCTCTCTTTCTACATTGCCCCAAACTCACTCACTTTCACACATTCATTCCCTTTTACTTTTCCCATTTCACTCGTCCCCGTTGGCTGCGTTTATGCGAGACAAAAGAGAGAATGAGATGTGGAGATGAATAAGTGTATACAATAAATCTCGGAAAACATAATACCGATTTTATAAACATTGCCGTGAAGTTTTCTTCTTTCTTTCAATCTCTTTGCTCAACCTCCCCACTCTCCCTCTCACCGTTTTCAATTTGCGATTGCAATGCTTTGTATCTCTGTTGATTTGAATGATTTTCCATGTGAATTTATTTCATCTTAATGTACGGGTACATACGGGTGTATATACGGTGGAATCGCATAAGCGACGATGTACGACTGCATTTTTTCTTTCATCTAGAATTGTGATAAAGGAAGAGTAAGAGCGAATAAGCGAAAGCATTTCATCGAAACGAGCATCGTCGAACTGAGCCTCATTCACTCTCCATTGCTCCAATATACAACATGCACACTATCCCCAATTGTGATATTTATTTATATTTGCAATTCGAGGAAGAGAGTGAGAGTTTGAGAAAGAGAGAGAAAATAAACAGTCATTCTCTCATCATCGTCATACCATACACTAGAAACGGTGCTACATATTTACCACGTAACAGAATAGCATTTCTGTTGCTACTTTTGTACTTGGGCAAATGCCATACCAAACGGCAGAGATACAACATACACACGCCCGACATCGCTTATCTATACACATAGACGGTGTGGCGGTGGAAGTTTTGTTGTTGATGATGATGATGATGGCTTTCGAAGTAGTACATTTGTTGAGGTGGTGGCAAGTCATGTTCTATCCATCTTTTTGTTAAATACAATAAAAATGTTTTTTTTTCTTCTTCTGGCGACTATACTAAACGCTTACTTCCCATACCACGAACGATTCAGTATGTGTTCTAGGATATCGCCTGGACAAAATAACATATTCCCCAATATCAATAAAATTTTGTGCTGCTTTTGGACACTCGAATCAAAAAAGAGTAACTGAGATATTTTCACTTAATGTGAGTCTTTTGGTCAATCGTGTGTGAACCAAATCATTCATTTCTATCTTATATTTTTCTCCCTAGTTTGTTGCTTTCAACTCATTTCGATAACTTTCGATGTGCTTAATGGAAAGATAGAAGTAATTACAAATACCAATTAGACACACTCAAGTGTGGAAATCCCAAAGAATTTGATTTCCCCCAAAAAAAAAAATCTTCCGAAAAACGAAAAAAATTTGAGAAGAAAATAAACAACATCCAAAATGTTAAAATTTACATTGCAAATTATTAAAAAAAAAAATATCAATACATAATTCAGATTTTTGGAATCGATAATGGATTTTCGGCCGCAATATACCTAACAAATAGTATTTAGTAAATACGATTGAGAGTCTCGTGTGCTCTTATGTGTATACAATGCACGCGCCATACACAATTTTCCAACAAGGAAAATTTTGTACCGAATCCCCATTGGACGGTATATCATATATGTATCGTTAGGGTGACTCCAACTTTCGGTTCGCTTTAAAATTGATTTAATTTCGGGCCAAGGAACAATTCCGATAGATTATCGCGGATTAAAATCCAACAAAGACACAACTCTATGTTAAACGCAATAAAGTAAGGGAAAATATTCAATTTTCGCAACAAACACATTTTATAGAATCGTTTGCGCATTAACACCACTATTTTTCGGATTTAAGTCCAAATTGACAATTTGACCGAAAATCCTCGCCCCGTTCAAACAACGATATATTGAAATTTATTTTCGAATCGCATTGCCTGATCGTATTCTAATTTATGAAAATCCGAAATGACAAGCGCGCACACCATGTGGAGACGCAAATTGCAATCTGGCGGAGAGAAAAAGAGAGAGCGTTATAACGGGAGAGCGAGATATACATAAAGAGAATAGTCACCCTACTATATGTACATGAATTCATACATTTATTTTGTTTTTCTTTTT